ATTGTGTAGTCACCTTATTGCAAATTGCATTTCCATATGATTATATCATAATTAAAATATCAAAAACAAATAAACAGATACATTAGAAGATTAAATAATTTCAAGAGAAAATTAAATAAATTGAATGAAATATTACTATTATTACTTAACCATCCGAACCAATTCCACTGAAAGTAGGTAACTACAAAACCACCCAGGCACCAATTATGTAGAACAGTTTGTCGAAATGAATTGGGAAACATGCACTAAATCTATATCTACTGCCTACTATTCAGTATTCACTGCACAGAATTAAGGTTTGCAGCAATAGAATAATAATAGTACGAAATAGATAACATATCAAAAATTAACTCAGCAGAAGAAAAATGGAATAAATTATTTTTTCACATTTTCTGCATTGTAATAAAATCGAAATGATTCACTTTACCTTAATAGAGTTGAGGAAGAATAATGGAACGATTAAGGCCGTAACGGCCACAGGATGGCCTGTCGGGCGATGATAGAACGGTGTCAAATTAAGAAAACATCAAAACCATTTTCGAATTATGTTACAATATACAAATTAAAAATTACGATTGCTTAAGACCTACACTAAAAACTAATATTTATTAAATAATATACATTTAACATATATATGATAATATATATGTAATATGTATATCAATTAAAAAATGTAATTCTTTTTTTACAAATTTACATGATGGAGAAAAGAAAATATCAATAGCGAGCAGTGTTGCCACATTTCCAAGGCCGACGTGTCCAAACAAAATGCAGAATTGCCAAGCTGTTATTTTAAGCAATTATTTTTTTGTTGATACACCGATTTCTCGATACAAAGATTGCAAACGAAGCGCTCAACATTGCCAGTGGCGGTAACGACCATTGGACAATCATGGAAATGAACACGATATTTTAATAAAAATTTAAAAGAATTGTATAAATAAAAGTGAAACTTCTTTACTTTCATAGTTCCATTATATATTTGACATTTTTATTATGGACTTCTGTGTTTTATATTTCTTAGATAGATTCTTGTATAAATTTAAGATTTGAGCCCCGAATTTCGAGTTCTAATTTTTTTGTACGCTCGAAAGACTGAAAATAAAATAAATAGTCTCTACAGAAACATTTTTTTAAAATAACCTTCACTATTAATTATGAGTATATTATAAAACAAGTTATAATTATTTATCATCCCCGATAATTTTTGCCAATAACACCGTTCCTCGAGTTTCTTTATCGTTATGCCATGGCGTTTTAGTGTTGTGTAGGTACTATATATTTTAAACCTATGAGTATTACCTAAGCTATTAGTTATTAGTTATTACGATAATATCCGATTTAGTTCACTTTTTATTTTTTTCTGATCTCTCATGAAAATAATTAATATCATCATAGAAAGAGCTAATTCACAATTTTTTAAGGGAAAAGCTTCAGGTTTCCACCCCTATCCCCGTGCATTATTTATAGTTAAATTTAATAAGATCTCTTTGATTGTTAGCAAAACACTATACCTTTTTAATTTTATATTCTAAAGTTTGTATTTTTTTAGATATGTCACAAGCCTTCGACCAAGTTTAGATTACTTCCTTCTTTTTTATTCCTACTAATTCAATTATACTTAACTGATAGACACTTCAAGTCCAATATAACACAGCAACATCCGGAATTGCTAAAATTAAAGCTGGTGTTCCACAAGGTGGCATACTATCCCCCTTCTTTTTTTAACTCTTATGTATCTGGCCAACCCACCATGCAATAAACTATCATAGTCGATTATGCCGACGACAAAGTGATTTTATCTATAAATGAAAATCTTTTAGGTATATCATTAAATTTACAAATAAATTTTATTCTCTTGTCAAGTGGTATGATAAATGGCGAGTCAAAATAAATCTGTAGGTAGGTACTACAACGTTCACACTCAAACAAGAAATATGCCCAAACAATTACCCTGAATAACGTACCAATTCCCTCTTCCTACTTAGTTAGATAATTGGGCTTAATCCTTGACAAAAGATTGACATAGAATAAACACCTTCGAATCAAAAGACTAACTTTAAATAATCGTACCCGTATGCTCGACCAGTCAGACCTCTTTTAATTAAAAATAAATTCTTCACACTAAATATCAAACTACTAATCTATAAAGCTCTATCTACTTAAACAGATCTGGACGTAGGTGTCGACTACATGCAAAAATTAATTCAACCTACCGTATTATTTAAAGCAAAATAAATTAATTCAGTAGAAATATCACAAAAAAATCATGAAATAAGTACCTAGGTATATTTAGTAACAAATTCTGATTGACAATCCACAATCATAATTGTTTTTCGTATTTAATGACATATTACTGGATTCAAATTTAGCACACCCATTACACTCATTACAGTGACCCAACTGACACTTAATATACAGCCGATCAGTATCCACTTGCCCAGATTTTTTTTCTAGAAATCATAAATGTATTCATTATATAAATGTATAATACAATAATAGATTATATGTAGTCATGTATGATATAAGTACTAGCGTACACTAGAAGTATTGGTAAAAAAATAAATCATTCTAGAATGTTATACAATTTTAGTCTGTCATAAAATTAAATACCTATAATGATTATGGAAAAAATAGTTTTTTTTTTTTATAATAAATACAATATAGCTCGACTAGCTCGTGAACAGTTGGAGTTGGAGATATATAATAATACATTATACTTCTATAGGTAAAAGATTTTGAAAAATTCTTTGATTAAATTTATCATTGATAAATGATAATATTATTTTGGTCATTTTTTCCCATTTGTTGTTTTATACACCAAAAAATATTTCTAAAAATGTTAATATTCTCTAGATGTAACAAGTGGTCGATTTTAAAAGAATTAGCCTATGCTATACAAAATATTTGTTTATATATTAACCCTACTATAAACAGTATAAACGTATCAGAACTGTTTTATAATATAATACTTTACTATTTGTACATGGTTCACGGAAAGGTATAAGTATAATAAGGTGTGTAAATGTAAATCAGTTAACAATTAACAACCATCTACAGTACAAATGTGAAATGTTGTAGCTATTTTCGTAATTGTAAATGCTTAATTCTATAGCCTTTTAGCCTTTAGGTAATCGAACACATAAACATATAGACATTGATAATGATCACAATTAAATACCTATACTAGAATTTCATTAGTTAAAATCTTACCATTAAATTATAGAATGTTATTTAAACAACTGTAAATAATTTTTTTCTTTTTAAGCAGATAGTTAAAAAAATGAATTTTATAGTACAAATTAAATACTTAAAAATATAACGCATAAATAAGTGTTTATTTTTTATGTTCAATAAAAAACTAATTACGTATTCAATTTGAAACATAAATAAAAAATATATATTATAGCTAGGTATATCATACGTACATTGTACGTCATCCAAAAATTATTTTTCACACAGAGGTCACGACTCGTGATTATTGAGATAAATAATAAGGATGACGGGAAAACATATTTTTTCATATATATCTCATGAAGTAGATTTTACTCTGATAATTTGACTGCCGAACAAAGGAAGCGTTTCCATTTTTCTTTCTCAAGTCGTTTATTGTTAAGCATGGCTTAATAAAATAACAAGATTTTTAAAAATACAATCATTAATCGATGATATAAATATAGGTATATCGTGTATTAGTGTAATGATTAATTTTATTCATCAGTATAAAAAAAAACCTAACTTCATACTAATGTCAAAGTTAAAAACAAAATGAAGCCATACAATACATTATCATGGTTCATGGATACTTAATAGATTTCATGGAGTATTTATACTAAGTTCAAATCAATAAAATTAATATATTATTTACGCTTAATACACATTTCCAAGCAAAACACATACACTACATTTTTCTTATCCCAAAAAATTAAACATTACTCGACTTGGTATATGTAATAAAAAAAAAATCATAAAAAACTAATTGTAGAAAACAATGAAGTCATAATTGTTTAACTACATAAAAACATGTATGGTACCATTTTTAGGTATAGACATTTTTATTGCAAACAACACCACCAATGTTTGTTCTATATACATTTAGAACCGAATGAGTAGTTACTGTCTTATGTCACAGAACATGTAATAATCAAATACGTATTAAATGTTATATTTTTAGTCTTTCAAAAAATGTACATATTTTCTTTATATACAGATTAACATAAGATAAATAAATTAGTCATTTCATAACCAAGGGTTTATTGTTTATTAAATAATATATAATGTTAAAATTACTACAATATGTTTACATTTATAAATATATATACATACACACACACACAAACATATATATATATATATTTATAAGTATATATAGTATATATTTTTATATTGTAGTAGTACACAAAATGTTTATCTATCAAGTTTGGAAGGCTTTAACTCATAATTTAAAAGGTTACTAATAGGATATTAATTATCAATGTATTGAGTTTTGTTAGATAATAATTGTAAAAAACAAAAAATGTATAGTTAAAGAATTTGTATTAAAAAAAAATACAATTTATATTATATATTTACTTGAAAAACATAAAATACGGTGTGAAATGGAGCCAGTTAGTATTCTTATCATATATTTTTAATTCATGTAATATTAAAATGTTCATATGTTCTTATTATGTAAAACAAAATAATTAATATATAACCACAATATAAAATAAAATACAATATTACTGTTCTGGAAAACCGAATAATCTATATAGAGGTGATTAAACTGATAATATGTGTATACATTTTAAAGGTGTAGTACATTGAATTTTTAAACAATATTATTGATGATTAGGAACTAAAACAAAAAAAAAAAAAAAGCGGACTTTATCATAAATATATTATTATTATTATTTATTTTTTTTTTTTGAAAATGATGGCTCCAAAAATGTATATAAAAAAATTAATAAATTAATTAAAATTATAAAATACTATACATATTTATATTTTATTACATAAAATATAATAACTAAGGAAAACTGTTTTAACTTTTTGTTTAAACTTTTTTTTAAAATATATCTTTATTTACATTGTTAAAAGTTTATGTGTATGGATCTGTCAATTATGTTTCCCCCCTTCACATTAACACTTCAGCATTCTATTAATTTCTTTCTTTTTTATTAAGAAAAACAAACTGTATTTGGTTTTTTTTCTTCGTATAAACATTTTCTAAAAACTATTTTTTTATCCTACATGGGATCTGTTGATGATAACGGCTTCTTCACGGTCTTCTGGTGATAATTCCTTGTCTTCCCATCCCCAAATGCTATTATGAGTTCCATCACCAGTTCGATCAACACGTTTGCGTATCATGTCCATAGATACTGTTTTTAAATCATAAGCCCAGCCTATTTTAGAAAAGAAATCTATAAACGCAGTAGTTAAATTAGCACGATAATTTCCCAATTCTGCTGCTTTATAGTCCCATGGAAACACATGATGATAGTTGTGCCATCCTTCACCAAGAGCACCTAACGCAACACCAATATTTTCAGAAGGATTGATAAATCTGTAAATAAAAATAAAATGTAAGTTACGCCAGAATGCATTTTATAATAATAAATTATAGTACTTCTTTTGTATTGCATACAGTACAAAAGTAGTGATATCTAACATCTTTTTTTAAAGCAAGCAGAATCTGAGATACATTTTAACATAGTTATTAAAAATTGTTTATGGAATGGTAAAGATTGTAAAAAAAACCAATTCTTTTTTTATAATATCATAATTTTAGTATTTAACAAAAAAAAAGAAATAATAATAATATTCACATTATAACAACTTTGATATATTGGGTGGTTAATAATTATTTAAAGAATATGTATTATTTTAAAAACTAATAACCTTATATAGCTATAATCTAGAAGTTCAAGGTCAAAATATAATTAAATTATAGAAACTGGCTTGGTTACCCAAATTTTATTATAAATGATTATAATTTTATAACATAATTACAAATTTATTAATAAACCCATTCTACAAAAACATAATAATTTAAATAAAATTATTTTATACTTTACAACACTTACTTGTCATAAGGTCTATCACCCCACATATGAGCAGCACTATTTACAAGCCATGTCATATTTAAAGTGAAAGTATATCGGAACATGGTAGCAACAAACCATGCATTAGACCATGTTTCACCCCACATGAATACAGGCACACAAGTAGGAACCAAGAAACATAAAACCGGCATCAACAACAAATAATACCTAAAAATTTTTTTTTTTAATTAATATTTTTGAATATTTTAAAATACATTAATATTTACGTCATCTGAAATACTACAACTGGATCCCGTTCTAAATCACTCATGTCAATACCACGTCCTTTTTCTTTTATTTCCGGGTGTTTACGACACAACAGCCATCCAACATGAGAAAAGAAAAACCCGCGTTTGGCATTATGAGGATCAGCATTTGTTTCACTATACTTGTGATGCATACGATGATCTCGAGCCCATTCATAAATGTGGTTCTATAATAAAAATAAATGTATTTAAATTAACTTGTTTACAATCATTACATATAAATTATATTCATAAGTTAGATAAGTTAACCTCCTAACTTATTAACATTCTATCACTCTGCTTTAGTAAATTATAAGCTTTAAATCTAGCAAACTAATATTTAGGATTACTGTTTAAAAATCTTAAAATAAGTTTTTGACATAGTAAGAATTACAAGTATCTAAAAATTAAAATATTATGATCTTATAAAATCATTAAATCCCATTAATTCAATTTTTCAGTAGAAAAAATTATGTTCTATTTACAGCATGCATTATTAAAACAATTAATAATACACATATACACTTTATTTTAAAACAATAGAAATTATAATTGTGTATATAGGTAATATGAATGTTTTAAAATCCTTAAGTACCACTACTGATAATTATTATCAATATAAGATAATATTACAAAAGATAATTAGTATAAAGTTACATCAGTAATTATATATTAGTATGATAATATGATATAAACAAGTTAGAAATGATTAGATTTTCAGCTGAAATATTTTTTTTTTTAAATTCTTAAAAAATAAGATGCAATAAAATTATAAAATAAATACAATTGTTGAATATTAACAAACAATATGTGTAGTTTCTACCTTCAGATTTTAGATTAGCTGAACCTTAAATTAATACCTTATAACTATAATAAAGTTAAGCAATTTTTAATTTACCTCAAAAGCAATTGTATTGAAGATCATTAAAATAATACGTAATGGAAGTTTTCCTTTATATGATCGATGGGCCCATAATCTATGGGCTCCAGCCGTAATTCCCAAACCGGACATTTGATACAGTAAAATTGCTAGAATACAAATATTAAATTAAAAAACATTTTAAATAAACATGATTAATTAATATGAAATATTTAAGAATTACCCCAAATTGATGTTGCTATTTTTGCAGAAGCAAACATTAGATATGCACCATACAGTGCAGCTATATGTAAGTAAACAAATAAAGCAACATTTCGCCAGACAATTTGTCTTTGATATCTGTATGGTTTGTATTTGTTATTTTCAATAGTTTCTCCTTCAGCTATCTGATTTCCTTCATCAACAACAGATGGTTCTGTATCATTTTCATTAAATAAAACACTAGGAGCGCCAACTGGGCGCTTGGTCATATTCGGGGCCATTTTTAGATGTTATTCCTATTGTAACACAAATAAAATAAATTTAAGATTAATTGTTAGTAGACTTCTGTCTTAATTAACACTTAAAATTCTTAAATTAAATAATTAAGCATTACATTTTAGAGTAATATAAATAATGATAATTATTATTTATTCATGGGCTAAATTTAAGTAAAAATTTCAAGTATAATGGTCAAACTCATCAAAGAGAAAAATCCCTTTTGTTAGAGTAATAATGGAGTACTAATAATGGATAATTAAAATAATACAAGCCATAAAAAGACAGAAAGACAAAATAATGAAAATTATTGTAATAGATAATTTTTGTTTGTATAGCATTCCTTTTTTTATTTAATTTGAAGTGTTCAGAAAAATCTTTATATGATACACAATATTACAACATGGCATGATATTTTTGAATCAATGAATATGCGTTTTCAATCTTATTAGAATGTTTAGTTTATATCATTATTTCTTATCAATATGTACAATAATATACAATAAAACAATAAAAAATAAAATGATAAAATAGTAAAAATAAATTTAGTATTTATAACTAATTAATATATGGTAACTAATTCACATGAATTAGAAAAATTGATTGAATCGATAACACGTGGCAATGGTAATTAGTATTTTTAAATAAGTGTTTGATTTTAGGGGGATCAAATTATAATATTGAAAATCTTTAAAAAAAAACCAAATTTCAAAAAAACTTAAGCAAAATTTCTAACTAAAAATTTAAGGACGACAACATTTCACCTGCATTTCTCTGTCTAATAATTATATAACACAGCAATTTTGAGCTCATTTTTTATTATTAGCATAATAAAATTATAATGAATTAACTTAATATTTAACTTGAAAGTAAAAACATCTGTATTTATATAATGGTTTTTTAAAGTTAACTATAAGAAAAAAAACATAAACAATTTAAATTTAATCAAGCAAACAAAATAAATAGTTTTTAAATATTCATATGCATAACATACTTCAAACACCACTATATAATAATAATGCTTATTATTTTTTGTCAGATGGAAGAGAGAAAAAAACAATATTTTTCAACAAAACACTGACGTCATCGTTTTTCACATAAATTTCAGTTGCACAATAATAATGCATTATACTCATCAACATACAGTAAATAAAATATATCAAGAGCAAGAAAAAAAATGTTTAATGACAAAACAAATACCATTTAATTAAATTTTAATTTTTTAATATTAGAACTGCTGATACGAGATTTTGATATGTTATATATCTACAACCAACATTGATGTTATTTATAAGGAAATTTTTCAATAGTAAAATTACACTCCCTTCCTATTTTAAATCTTTACGAGAAGCAACGTACTATTTAAACTAAATTCAGGATTATTGCTAATATTAAAAATATACTGAGATTAATCATGGTTATTCGTAATAAATTAAAATTTAGGATTGTGGATTATGTACCTATATTAGATTTATATCGGGTAGTAATAGAAGAATATGTAAATTATAAACATTGTTACGATAATTTTGTGGATTTAAAAGGTAAAAGTAAAATATGAAATATTTATAACACTATATTATTTATAGCATTTAAAAATCTTAATGCATGAATAACTAATAACTGATAAGTAATAAGTGATTGAAATATGTTTCATAAACATGAAAGCTATATTATTTTGCGTCGATTACTTTTTTTTTTATATTGATACAATTTCATACACATTACAATAGAAAAGTATTAACTACATACAATATCGCGTAAATGTTAAAAGTTAACTTGTCAACTTATTATCTATCTATAAATGTGAATAAATAGAATTTATAACTATTCAAATCTCATTTGAGACGAAAGTATTTATTGTTATACCAACTGCGAAGAGCGAACCATTGTTTTAATAGGTAAATGTAGTTAATTAAGAAATAGAAACGGTTTGATTTCTCAGTATAGTTAACTATTTTGAAACTTTCCTTCGAAATACTTATGAACAAATCAATAAGAATACAAACATGATTTAAACCTATACTCAAGGTTACAATAATTGATTGATTTACATAATTAAATTCCATAATATTGCGAAACTCATTGATTACTTTTATTATTAGTTAAAATGATTGTATTCAATTTTTTTACGTCGTACATGATTAAATCACGTGAACTTTTTCTCATAATTCTTATATAATGTTCAACAGATATCAAATTTAGGCCTATTCCATATTTTTATAGATAATAATAATAAAATCATAATTACAAAAATAATTATTCCGATACCAAGGTTTTAACAATGATAGTAATTAACAATAATAATTTTTAAACATATTTTATCAAAACTTAATTTGCAACAAAAATACATAAAAAAAAAAGGTACGAAAATTTAACATTGGTTACCGTGTATCGGAAAATAAACAAATAAACATCCACCTTAACTCCATTAAGTATTAAAAATTATTGCAACTTAAAAAATAATACAGAAATCATTAGGTGTTAACAATTAGTATTAAAATGATATATTATATAACTATTCAGTGCATTTTTTTCTCATTGTTAATAATTTACAACGAATCAGTTAAAGTAAGGGTTTAAGCTTCTGAAAATACATTTCTAATCATCTAAATAGACGTCTTTAAGATCTAACAAAATTTAGAAAATTTACGTAATATTTTTGTTCAGGATCTTATATACGCCGCTATATAAAGTTTATATATTTTATGACATATTAGGATTTTAGCCACTGTTCTTTATTACTCTGTATTATAATTACTACTATAATAATTATTCTTATTTAACTTTTTCAACTAAAATATAATTAATAAAAAAATTGTGTAATTGAAAAACAAGTTATACCCAGAGTAATTCATAATTTTTTTTTCTCTTTTATACGTTTGAAAAAAATATGATTGAATTGATACTAAAAAAATAAATATAATAAATCAATGATAGAAAATGTTGGTATAAAAATACACTTCACGTTTAATATACATTTAATATATTAAATTTGTTCTATAATATCACATTTTTTACTAAAAATTTAATATTAACTTTTTGAGTCTTGTAACATATCTAACTATACGATAATCACAATTTTATTATTTTAACAAGGTCGTAGAGGTCATATACATCAGAAACCTCTTCCTGCGCCAATCCAAATGATATGACTAATTGTCAATTAGGTAATAGTCATACTAAAGTGTCTACAGCATTTAAAAATAATGCTTCCCTGGTACGCAGTATTTAACCTTATATTATTCTAAAACTCTAAAATAAGAATCAAATTGACCTCAAACTAAGTAAAAATCGCCATGTGCAATTAAATTTTAACTTCAGGTAGATCAACAATGCATCAACAGGTGAAAGCATTGAAAGAAAGGACGATTCTAAATAAATTTTCTAAATTTTCAACTTGTTACAGAATTACGTAATAAGTCGAAGTGCGAAGTAGGGTCTGATTTCAAGGTACTTACGATGAAAACCAGAATTTAAACTATCTGATTTCACCTTTCGTTAAATAAACAATTATGAATTAATATTACATTTATACGACAACAATCGGGTCTGGATTGTGAGGGTATAAATACTAAGAACGAAAGAGTAGGAGAGTAATGTAAAATGAAAGAATCGAAAGTAATGTAAAATAAAAATCAATAATATTTATTGATGAAAAATTGCGTATTAGTTTTTTTTTTTTTTTTTAAGTTATTCATTGATTGTAGTAAACTATAAAATACCTACGAAAACAGCATAATTTTTATATAGCTAAGTACGACAAATGTGTTATAATTTATATTCATTCTGCAACCTTGGAATTTTGAGAAACAACTAAAAACTAAACTAACCAAGTATCATGTATATATAATATATATGAAATTAAACAATATATTATACATTTTGAAAATATGATAACTAGGGATGATACATTTTCGAACACGGAACTTATTCAATATTAAATTATTTCATTCTTACATCATAAAATAAGTAAAATACATCTAGGTATCTACTATTAGTGGAAACATTTAAGAAGACACTACACCCGGATGTATTGTGTTTGTGTTGTCTTTCTCTTCCAAACATACATCACCAATTTTCGTTTAGACAAACCAGTTTTAGATGATAGTTTTAATATTACAGTGAATCTTAAAAGTAAAACTTATAAGTAAAATTTTTATCTAAGACATTTTTGTAGTACTTTATCGATATTTTAATTTTGAAGTGAGTTATATAACAATATAAAATATTGCAATTTTAAAATGCTCATAACTCGCTTTAAAACTGCAATATGATGCCTTTGAAAATATTCTTTTCTTAAAATCTAATTATACCTTTAATTCACTTTAATATTAATGTTAACAACACATTCAAGTATATCTTACCTCTTAAGCATACAATTAATTTTCATAAAATTATACTTAGTAGTTAAAATTGAAAGAAACAATATTTTAAATTCTTTAATAAATTATTTAGTAAAAACACTTATCATATTATCATATTTTATACTTTATAACACTACTGTTCAAGTTTTATACTTTATTTTACATCTTCAAAATTATAATTTTTTTTTTTGCAAGGGGGAGATATGAGTACAAAACTCAAATTAGTCACATTTTTATCAATATCTTGTAAGCAATTGAGAAGCAAGTAAACTTTAACAAGCTAAACTATTCAAATGTTTTGTAAATGTACCGATAAATATAATTATTAAATAAATAAAAATAAATTGTTTGGAAGATTTAAACCTAATAAGCCGAAAATTGTACTGGCTACCATAAGTCTTAGAAATCTATTAGGTCTGGCTACCACTTAACAACTATTAAATATAATTAAATGTTTTCATTTTTGGGGTTATATTTATTTAGTGAACAATAAATTATTTTTATTATTAATTAAATTGTTATATTTATATTACTTATTTCTATATCAGTTATACTAAATACCCACCAATAAGTATTTAATTATAAATAAAATAATAATTGAAAAATACTAATAGTTACAAATAAAATATAATTGTGTAATATGACAATATTACATAAATTATGGCCATCACAATAGTTAATTAATCCTTAAATATAATAAATACATTTATTTAAATGTTTACATATATTAATAATTTCAATATTTATAAAAATTATGTTGATATACAGTATACCTAATAAGATTGTTGGAAATATATAAAACTTTAAACTTCCAATTATTGAACAGTTATGGAGAAAATATTTTTCATAAAAATATTTGATTTATACACTAGGAATTTTAATAAAATTAATTAATATGAATTAAAATACCTAAAAAAAATTGAATATTGTTTTTCAAATATTAAATATCAATTATGAATATTAAGGTACATTAAAAAAATAATTTAAAAAAAATATGTATCAACTACATTCAGCACAACAATGGGTTTTATCGTTTAATCTAAGGTCATATAATATTGTATTATGTATAAACCAAAATATTTTTATAAAAATTATTTCTGTTGATTATTGATAAAGCAAATTAAAACCAACTCCATGTTTTTGTCCTATAAAATAATAGAAGGGTAATTTTTTACCTTGAATCTTGATATTATCAACAGTATTTAATTCAAAACAATAATACAAACAACATTGATCAAATTGATATAAATGTTTGTAAAATAATTAAAATTAAAATAAGTTTATTTATTAGGTACAACTAAATATTTAAACATAAAGATATAAATTACAATTTTATACCATAGTATGCATAATATTATTAAATCGTTAAAATAGTTTACCAATTAATGAGTTCACAATAAGTAAACATATAATAAATAACAACTACCATATAGGATTTAAGAACTATATTAAATACCTTGAACTACCATTTGATCATTTTTTTACTCGAATACCAAATTACTATCAAGTTGTACAAAATGGAATATTTTTTTTTAATAATACTAGGTATAGGGAAAACGATAAACTTGTAATTTGTGAAACCGTCAAAATTAAAAAATTAAATTTTATGTCCTTATCAAATATGCAATTTAAGTTCCTAACTATTCATTCAACCTTCATTAATCAAACATCTCTAATATATTTTGATATGTTCCAGATTAAAGAAATTTCTAACAACTAAAATTCAAAATTAAGAATAGTTTTAATAATATTTTAACATCAGGAAAAACATCTTTCAGTCCACAAATTAATATATCTAATGAGCTAGTTGGCACAGTTTTCTTCACTTTCAATTTAATTTCCTTTAACTCAATCTATTCTTAAATATGGATGAACATGTAATATTTTTAAAATTATCTTTTTAAAGATCACAAGCGTATTTAACACCATAAAAATTACAATTCACTGCATATTTTAAGAGGTAACAAGTAAGACAGTTAAGTCATGTATAAACATTTTTTTTTTTATAAAATTATCAATTATTTTTATTATATAAAATAAATTCTCTAAAATTTAACTAAGTAATACATTTGACATGATAAAAATTTACCTAATCAATATTAGATCCTTAAATAAAAAAAGCCCTAATTAACTCAATTTTTTGTTTGTTTTGTTTTTATACAATCAGAATTTATTATAAAACAACATTAAAAAAAAAAACATTATATTTTTTATTAAAAAAAAATTAAATGTATATTTTTATTTTATAATCTAAAGCAAAATATTTTTATGGATGAAAATTGAATATTAAATAATTAATTGTTTGTTAATCAATATTTTAAGTTTAAGTGAAGTAATGAATAAATATTTTGCAAAGTAAACTTATGTAACTCCACAATTACTTATCTAAATCTTAAATACTTTTATAACAACTCATTCAAAGTTCAATTCTTATATATTTTAATTCTCAAATAAAAACTATTTGGTATTAAAAAAATGTCAAATACTTTTTGAGAAAATGAGATGAGGGTTTACTGATTTAATATTTATAAAAAAGCTGACTTTGATTTACATGATTTTAATTTATCCAAAATAAATATCATAAATATTACATGTAATTAAAAAAAAATAAGTACCTATTGAGTATAATTATGCATAGGTACCTAATTAGCATTTTTGTTTAAAGTACTTGAATACTTTTAATTTCTTTAAACCTTATTACTGCATTAATTACCTCTTTATGAAAACAAATTTAAGCTATTCTAAAAGAAAAATAAACAGCATAAATTATAATTTTAAATACAACAAACAAAATGTAGTTTTAGTTTAATTAAAAATTTACTATTTTATTAAAAAAAAAATGTTTAGCTAAAATAGTATTTCTGATACTTAATATAGTTCATACAGTTTAAATACAAATAAGGTCAACTAATATAAGCATTTATTTAACTAATTGACCTGTTAATGTTAGTTAATTTCATAGATAATGATTATCAATACAAACAATTACTACAATAATTAGTAGGTATTATAACACATTAGAACAAATTATTTATAAATTAAATACGCTATAGAGATCGAACGCAAATAGGTCTAACAAGTCAAATTAAAGTGCAATATTTTATTTGGCAGAAAATATAAAAAATTTGATAACACTCCAAGTTAAATTGATTTAAAACAGAGATCTACACAGTGGTCAACAATATTATTATGAAACAAATAAAACCATATTATGCTAAGAATTTAGATAATTTACCTGTTTTTCCGATTTATTGCAAGTATTTGAACGCGTATTGAATACACGTAATAAAAGAAAATATACTTAATATATTTTACAAATTTTAACACACGAATTTTTCTATTTTTAAAACAGACCGCAATCGGAACGACAAAGGTCGTGAAACCGAAAACAGAACATATTTATTACCGAAATCGAAATAATGACGCCTTAAGAACGTCGTACAAAATTACAGGTTGCGTCGAAAAGAAAACAAGCAGAACGTACAATATATGATTTTTATAAAAATTCCTATTAATTACGAATGCTCGAAGACACCCTGAAGTTTTTCGTATGCGATGTAGTTATTTTTTATATTATTTAATAACACAATAACAAGTACGGGCGCGAATGACAGAATAACGATTGTAAAGTTGCGAGCCGCAACGTCCGCGGAGACGGCAAGAACTGAAAAGAACTGAATTTATCCAATTACCTATTACTTAACAAACTAATACCTATGGACATTGGACACGACTGGGAAACGAAAAATTAACGGACGACCCCTTTTTGATAAAAACGTGATAAAAAAAAAAAACATGACGTAATCGCAGCCGTGTCTCCCACTACCCCGTTAAGTAGAGAGTAGTGCGAACAAGAGTAGCGCTGCTGTCGAGCCACACGGCGCCAAATCATCAGTGTTGTACAAAAATATTTAATGGTGTATAAATGCGCGCAAAAGTGCACCGATTTCTCGACCTGGAGTGTTACGACGAAATATGAATGACGATAATTATGACATACGTGCCATACGTGGTATTTAATAAATAATTCATAGCCATTTAGATCGCCCCTAATGGCTAATGCCTAATAATTGCCTAATGCCCTATCGACCGTCCAATTGATATTATGTAGATGATCAAATATAATATTTTTAATAATTTATAACTTGATAGAATATTTTAATATTTAGTGTAAAAATTAATATATAATGTATTATTCTTATTATATTTCTACCAATATAAAGTAAAAACTATGAGTCATATCCTCATATGTTAATAATTTATTCGTGAATAAAAGTAATAATAAAATAATTTACATATTACAATAACCCGATAGTCGTACTCGTATGCCATGTCATGTCCAATGCAATTGTTATATTTAAAACGTACTATACGCCTTTATAAGAAATACATGAAAATTAATCACTCTTAACTTCCGCCTAATCATAAAACAATTATACAAATTTAAACGTAAATATCTTGGTTTTATTATTTTTACAATATATATAATAATATAAATTTTACCCCAATATTCTTTTTTCAAGTAATCCTAAATAAGTAATACTTTATAATTCTAATTTTGTTCAACACCTGCTATTTTATTATATGTATAGACAATAGATTAGGTTCGAATTACTTTATTAAAGTTCAATTACAGCATCTTTACCAAAATTTCACGAATTTACTTTATTTTGATGAAAATTCAAAATTAATTCTATAAACAATATTGACATGCCTTCATGATCTTATCATACTTATGATATTATATCAACAAAAATAACATTCCTATTAATAACACTGAATCTCTCTCTATTTACCTACATACTCGTATTTCATTTTTAAACAGCATCCACATTGTATGATTGTTTTTAGTAAAAAGAGTGAACACTGAAAAAGTTTAAAATATGAATATTTTAAATAAAAAAAAAAATGTTAAATAAAGGATAACTTTGAATCTTAAAATTCACACTTGTACATTTTATAAAATAGGTAATTATTAATAACAGAGAATACTTATAACTGCTAAATAACATTAATAAAAACATTTAAATTAGACTTTGAGTAGTAGTGAATAGAAAACATTAATACTCAATATACTTATAAATTATCAATTAAAAGAAAAAGAATGAACTGATACCCGATAAAGTAAAAACAAAATTCTATTATATCAACGTAATGTTTCAATATCACAAATTCATAGATATACAATAGTATTGAATAGGCCATATTGATAATGGTGGTGCCATATTTCAACAAAAATACTGTTTTTTTTTCAAAGGAGCAGATTTAAAAAGAATGAACAAAACCATGAATATATTAAATGCATTTTGAATGTGAATGCATTTATTTTTAAAATTAATATGATTGAGAATGTCTAACATGACCAATGACAAAACATTTTTTTCAATAATAATATTAATATAACATTCACTAGCTTTAGCTATACATATTAATATAGATAATAATATGAATTATGTATAACAACCAATAAATAGTTGAAACAAATATTTTTTTTTACAAAAGTACAACTGCAATATAATTCATAGAAATGCCAATTGATTTATAAACTTATGTTCAAAAAAAAAAATTACTAAATATACATTTTTGCCAAACACACCAAATTATTAGAAAAATTACCTTATTCTTTCTATTAAATGAGATATAATAATTAAAAACTAATTAAATTTATTATAATATGGGTTAAGGATAAAAATTTGCAAATTTTATTTTTAACTTTTTTTGTAGGTTATTATTGAAGCATTGTTTTTCCATTCAATTTTACAAATAATAAAACTGTTTAACATTTTAATAACATTTATGAATAAAACTATTATGGTAATTTTATAGATAAGATTAAATAATAATTAGTAAAAGTACTTGAAACAAAATATAAATTAGTAATTTATTATACAAAATACAATATTGTGATATTACTAAAAAAAAAATTTGTGAAAGATAAAAATAAAGAAAAAAATTTAATTTACTGTTAAGTATAACTACATCCAACTGACAATTGCCTGGTAACCTAATTTAAATTATTTTAGATAACATAACTATTAATTTAATTTTTATATAATATATTACTTTACAATAGTTAGTATTTTTAATTGCCTATAAAGTATGTGTTTTAACAAAGTATACTAAAATTCAATACTCATTAACCTGTCACTGGTTTCACTACGTTTTGTATCATAATAGGTATAATATTAGTGTTGCATTAACATTATCATTTTTTCGATGCTGTGAATTACTATGCAAAATTAGAGTAATAAAACAGAGATAAAAATATTTATCTTTACAAATATTTGATTACTAATAAAAATTGTTATTCAAATTGTCAAATAAAAAATTAAAAACAAATAATTTTTGATTGGAAAAAATATACATAGTCATCATTTCCACTTTCTACATTATTTGGAATACAAAAATAAAAATCTGCACCGGTATCATCAGTCATTTAATATGTGATTATTCTCAGCTTCACTTATCTGTTTAGACATTTTTTCACAATATTTGTCAAATTTTGTGTATAAAAGTTATATAGAAACAATAATGATACCTTTAGTATTGTGAGAGCGGGATGCTAACATAATCGCGGTATTACAGGATTCAATAGATCATAATAACCACAAATACCTAGATGTTTTCGCACTGGATTTTTGGTTATTTTAGTATAATATTATCTGGATAAGAGATATATGGAGTTTCAAAACAATCTATTTTTATTTGAACAAATGATTCCTAATATAAGCTTAATGTTAGCAGAATGCCAACTCCAATACTGATGATAGTTTTATTGTATAAATGGTAAAATGTATATTATATACAAATTCACTGAAATTTTTAAACTTGTCTGTTCAGTCTTTATAGTAATTATAGTAATTAATCGGTTCAACAGCTCCCGTCAAAGCCGTGTCAGATGGTTGTAATATAGCACACTATGGTTTTATATCCGTGATGATTACAAAAAGTAGTTTTAACTATTCTAGTTAAAAACTAGTATGTTATGATATTAATAGCTTACATTAAATTTTAACGAATATTTAGAATTAAGTTGTTACATTGTATGGCCTATGTAACTACTAAATCTTAGTTATGCTTATATATAAATATATATTTTTATAAACATGATAATTCTTAAATAAATAGCATTATTTTCATAACAAAAATCTACTACCTGTTTTTAATATTTATAATGTAAAAGAGTCAAAGAGACATTTTAATTCCTAAATCATTTTTATAAGAAAACTTAAATAATAAAAAAATATTAACATCATGTATGAATTATTATAATTTATAACAAAATTATGATTTAATAGTTATTTGTAATAGTATATTGACGTAGTTGATACACATAATATTATAAGTATAGAATTATTGAAGTCAAAAGTTCGTAATTTATTTCCTATTCATATAGACATCCATCCAGGAGATAATAATATAATGATAACGTGTTTTATGAATAATGAAATTATTGAAAATATTAACAGAAGTGACCAACAGCAGTAAGATCTGTGACAACTTAATGGATTTTCGTAAATTAGATAAAAAACAATTACTTAAAATTAAATGCAATAAAACGAATATAACTAACAACTCATATTGTCGGCAATCATCATTGAATTAATTACGAAAAAGTGTATAGAACTTACCTTTTTAAAAATGTATTTACGACTCAAATTCTCTTGAAACCAAACCACAAACAACTATTAATTATATATGAACTTAGAAAATAACCCTTAGAGTTTAGTTAAGTCTCCGAATAATCTTTATTTAAAAAATAATTTGACCAAAACTTGATAGAACAATTCGGCACATCAAAAGAAAGTTTCTAGAAATTGAGGTTACGTATGTTCATCGATTCCTCTTTGAATCTCCCTGGAATTTTTTGAAACCGTGATAACATTTATTATGTTATCATTGTGATAGTACCAAACGTGGCTGTAAATTGTAATCTTTGATATTATCTGTGGCTTTAATGCTGTACCACAGAATCGCGATTTAAAATATACCATAAATACCTAATATTTTAAACCATTTATCGAGTGTAACATAATTTGCTGTATTGAACTTAGAAAATGTATAAGAATACTTTACTAATGTTTGAATACTGATTAGTGATTACACACTACACAGTACACTTACTGCATATAACCATTGTCCATTACGAAATTGTAATGTCATACCTATTCTTTTACAGCTATTTATAAACAGGTAAAATTTTGATGAATTTGAAATATTTTAATTACCTAATTATTGTCGATAAAAAAAAATTCACGTTATATGCCTAATCGATTAAGTTTGAATTTTAATGAACTTGTAAAATCTTAAACATTTGCAAATTATTTTGTAATTAGAAATTCATAAATTTTTTTTTATTTTCACCTAAAAATTGAATATTTAATATAAGGTTCTTTAAAAGTTTTACAACATACCTATAATAAAAAAATAATTTTGCTGGAAAGTAAAATTAATTTTTATGATCGATTGACGTTTGTAACATAACTATTTCTCCTCAAACAATTTTTTATATTGTGTTATATCAATGATTATATAATAGGTAGTCTATTTTATAATAAATAGTTAGGTATATCTGATATGTGTAATTAAAAAGTAGTACCTTATCATAGACACTTCAACACTAGAAAATTAATTAAAATCCTTGAAATCAGTCTGCACTCTAAATAATTTTAAAATTATGATTATGTATAATATCTTTCAATGATTTTTCGCCTTTATAGTGCATACCTACTTATAAATTATAAATGTATCAGTTACAATCAGGTTGGGTAAAAAACCAAGATTAATTGATGATTTAAATTTAAATAGATTAGGTAGATACAGTTCAATGTACTGTATGGTCTGTATGTTCATTTGTCATATATACAATAAAAATAATAAAATATTGGTAACTTTAACTGAATACATTTATTAAATTATTCATCGATTATATAATTTGAGCATGGAAGGTCGTATTGTATTATTGTATATTGATAAAATAAATAAATTTAAAAAAAAAATATTAATTTAATTTAATATTTTTATTTTCATTAATTATAATATAAATTAATATACCTACTTAATTAATAAATGCATACAGTAATGATAAAAATATTTTTCGCAACTCTAGTTTACACTATAGCTATTTTTTAGAAAACTTCAGTAAGTATCCATAGCATTGCAAAGGTAGTTATTACCACATGACTAATAAATATAATATATTTTGTAATATCAGGTTAAATTATTTTATATTTTCATATTGATACTTATTGTATAAATATTGAAGTAGTTGGGTAATATTTAAATATTTAAAAAATATTTTACATAGGTAACATTAATATACGTAGTTGTACAGACACAGTTTTTTTAGTTAAAAATAACATTCGAACGAGTGTACGACGTGCATTGGTATATGTAGTGATCTACTGATATAAGTTATAATTAATATAATATAATAAAATAGGCTTTAAACACATTATACATTTACATGTATTTCAGTATTAGTTCATACACGTATCTAATATCTATATATAATATATATAAATAATAAGCTAATAGTTCAGAGTTCATGTAAATAAGAGTACAAAGTTTAAAAACTAATACCTGCTGAAGGAATCATAGATATGTGTAAGACGTAGGTATGTTTTAATTACCTATGTTTTCGATAGGTACCGTTACGCAATACGTAATGAGAAATAATTAATAGACACTTAATTTCCATATGTACGTGTAAATTAAAATTAAATGCATAAAAAGGGTAGATGTTGAGCAATGATAATTTTGTAAACCATTATGAAACAGTGATTGAAATTTGAATATTATTTATAGTTTATATTATTATGTGACTTGTTACTATTAAAATTTTATTTTTCTACATTCAATTTATTATTTCTTATGATAATTAGGTAATTAAATATTATAACTATTTGTTTTTAATTGGATATTTTTTATGAATATAATAGATATGAATATGTTTTTGCAACGAGTGCCTAACACATAACTTGTTTTAATGTTTTATTCACTAATTTCGCGCGTAACGACACTGTCGCCTATAGGTAACAAGTAACAACTACAGGAACATTTAAAATTTTGTCTACGCACTGCAGACATATAGCCACGTTTACACGTACATACATAATAATAGTACATTAGTATTAGTACCTACTTATAGAACACCAGCCAATATTTCCTATCCACTCTACTAGTTTTAGTAGAATAACAATTTACACGGAGCTAGTGATTAAGTTGAAGATAGTGCATAATCGGTGCAACACGATTGCGCCTGGCTTACCTTTTTCCGTTCAAAAAATTTTTAGTGCATATTTTTGTTATTAGTTTATATTTTTATATATTCTAATTTAAATAAAAAATTGTTTAGTATTGTCAAAATAAACATAAGTTTCAAAGCTTTCCAGCGTATAATAAAGTAGACAAAAAAAAAAAAAAATTATAAATATACAAATGATTTAAATATAAATATATAAAAAAATACTTTAAAAAGTTAACAATAAAATATTATCTTGATTAGGTACTAAAATGCACTTACTAAAATACCTGATTGGCTGATTATACATATTGAGAAACCAAGTCTGGTTTTTAAATAGTGTATTGGAAAATTGTTAGAATATAATAATATGTATATGTTAATATGTTATATGTATAACAAATATACTAGGGACATAATATATTCATATATATTGGAGCGTAATCGTGTTGCGTTTTGTGCAGGTAAAAAGGTAAAACGAGTTCGATCGTACTAATTAGTTGGGCGCAATCGTATTACAGCCGTATATAATACCTATGCAGGCACATGCTCGGTTCGCACCTCAACATTTTACTTTGCCAAACAGATCTTTTACTTCAGTAGAGTTATGGTAGAGTGAAAACGGTGGTGATGTAAGGCAACCAGAGATAACTTAACACTTAACCACAGTGAAAACATACCTATATCGATTACTATCTTTAGTAGGTACTATATACGTAGTACTATAACAACACTATATATTATGGGCGTTTGCCGTTTACATTATTCTATAGTAGGAACGATAAAGTACTAACTCTACTTTCATAGTATACCAAATACTTTTTTAATTTAAACGTGGCTTTAGGTAAATAATAAAGATTAAAGAGAGTAAGTAAGTGAGTGAGTGATTGACTAAAAGTATTCCATGCAACCATCAACCATGTTAGGAATTTACGTATATCGGATTTACATTGATGCTGTTTTTAGTAAATACCTACCTAACTAGTAACTTTAAGAGTTATATTATAGTTAGCATTATAGACGTAACTTATAATAAGTAGTTAATTGTAGTAGGCAAGTTAAATCGAATAAAATCTTATATTAGGTGACTCATTTAACGTAAAAACACTCATTATTTTAAAAACTTTTCTAAGAAATATTGGAAATTCACACTAATTTAATACAGAAAATAAAAGAATATGGTGCTTGAAACGTTTGAATAAATATTAATAATAATTTTTTTACAATGCAATATGAGTAGATAGTTTATAATTCTAGTTATATTTACTGCATAATAAAATTAAAATAAATAATAATTCTTGGAATTATTATCGATACTTACATATAAGAAGGCTCAGAAGTTGCATATTGTTTTACATACTTTCAATTTACAGCAGATTAAGCTAGAAATTCAAATTAAACAATGGTAAGTTAAAAAATCGAAAATTTGAAATGTATACTTCGTCAATTTTAGGGAAAAAGTGCATATTCCATAGATTTTTATAAGTACATTATACATTATTGAATTACCTAATCTACACATTTTAAATAATACTGAACATAAATTTTATTTACGTATTTATTGTCATTGTGGCAGTCAAATATTAATTTGCCGATAATGGTATGATGTACATTTAAGTTTTAATCTATATAACATAATACTAAAAATAGATCAGTTTTATCAAAAAATGGTTTTAAATAAACATTTTAGTTTTTCATAAAATTTTTCACATTTAGATAAAAAATTAAAAAAAAGTCATGGAGTTATACATTTTGAACTAATAAAAGTACTACTAACTAGATTCAATTTGTTATAGAAACCACACTCCAAGTTGATGGTTTAAGTAATTTTTTATGTACACATAATAAAATCATACATTTTTTTTATTGTTCCACCCAGAATTTAAGAGCTAAGTTTTTATAAAAGTTATTTTAATTATTTTTTAAGGCTTTTATTTAACTAAAATTTGAATAAAATAAATTTTATTAATGAGTCACTGTGACAATTCGCACCTTTTTTTTATATCATATTGTATTATTTTGAGTTGATATCGCCTTACTGTAAGATGGTAGAATAGGTTCTGTGATTCAGGTATAAATATTAATAGGCAATAGTTCAAAAATTCATCAAAATATTTTGAAAATGACATTGCGTAAAGCAAAATGTAATAATATAATTAATAAAAAATGTCATGCCCATTGTCCTTGCAAATATTTTCGAATAAACAAAATAACTAAAATCATTATAAATATTTAATTTTTACAAAAATGGAATATATCAAATGACAATAAATAAAAATTGTGATAATATATTTTTAAATATTTTAGATTTTAGTAAGAACTACTTTAAATACTCTTGATACTTATTTATGTTAGTTATAATAACAATTTAAACTGTTATCTAGAACAAAGTTAACTTAATTTAGAGTTCTTACCACTTATTGTTATGTCTAATGAAAAATACAGAAAGTAATCTCGTACTAAATTTTCAAGACTGACTTTAAATATTTAATACATTGTTAACAGTGTTGGGTAAGTTACTTTTAAAAAGTAGTAACGTTACTTTACTCGTTACTTAGAGATAAATGTAATAAAGTTACTTTATTTGTTACTCAAATAAATATATTTTTTTAATTTCTTAGCAATTTTCATTTTGCCAAGCAATAATATAACTAGAAGTATACTAGTACACTATCTACAGTAAAAATGTTTAATTTTAAAAAGATGTACAAAAATAATATGTATAGTTGTCAGTTAATACGTCTTAAATACATAACAATATTATTATCAATTAATTATACTTATCATAGAAATTAATTATTGGGTATATAGGTAAGTATTATGAATATAATGTCACAAACTCACAACATAAACGATAAACTTACTATTTTTGTACAATATTATTACTATACAAAATTCTAATATTAAAATAAATTGTACTTACTGCATTTATATGGAATATAATAGCCAACTAATAGTGTTTAGGTATAGACATAACTACATAGGTTCATGCCATGATATTCATAAAAACGTTCTGTATAGGTACATATTTAGATGAATCAAATTAAATAATAAATTAACTGTTCAAGTGATTTACAGTACAAGTATTATTAGATATGTTAAAATCATGGTGGCGAGTTATATTTATAAGATTGGTATACCTATTACGATATTACCTGCATTATTGACATATTTTTGGAAGTTTTTTTTTTTAAATTCCTAATAAATACTAAATAATTCGAAATTGTAACGCGTTATAAAATAGAAATTACTTATCAAAAGTAATTTCCATTACATTTTCGTTACTAGGAAATAATTCTAATGAAATTACGTAACGCGTTACAAATAAAGTAACGCCGTTATAGTAACGCGTTATTTCCGTTATGTTACTACCCAACACTGATTGTTAACTAAAACAAGTATTTAAAAAAAATCTAACTTTCAATATTTTAAGAAATTTTCGATCAATTTGAAGACATAAATATATGTTAGAATATAAGTCATCAGTCATTTACTCAAATAAGATTAATACACAATTTTTTTTTTGTGGTTTTTATTCTTTATTTTCAATTTCATCAATTTGTATATCAGCAACGCCTTTGCAGTGTTTTTTTGTTCCTTAAAAAAAAAAAAATAATAATAATATTAATACGATGTCTAATATTTTTATCAATCAGTAATATAATTCATAATTATAGAATGGTTTTCTACTTAAAACTTTTCTTAAAACCATATGTGATGTAAATTCTACCTAGTATTTTATTTATTAACATAACATTATAATCCAGTAGATCATGTCATACCAATTTTAAATTTTTACTGATGAATATACAAGTTTGAAATTTATCTACAAAGTTTTGAAAGTTTTATACTATTAGAACATATTGTTCTTAGGTGGATATTTGGTTAAAATTAATTAAAGTTAAACTAACCTCCGGGTAACTGATATTGGTTTGCAGTTCTTTTACGCATTTCATCAAGATTTTCACCAGCTTGTGCCCATTCAAGCACCAATCGTCTTCCATACAAGTGAGTACTTTGGCACATAGATTCCATAGCTGCTCTTGCTTCGGTTTTAGAATTATATTCAACAAATGCAAATCCTCTATGAGTGCCAGTTCCTACCATTTTCTTAGGCATTCTTAATCCTTTTAATTCTCCAAAAGTTCTAAAATATTAATAATAATACAATTTCTAATTTAAAAACTATGTTACAAAAAACATACTTAAACAATTCAATAACTTCTTGAATACTGGCTTGGAATGGTATATTTCGTACAAGGATTTTGGTGCTTTCTTCATATGATTTACTTTGTTTTCGATCTATAACTGTTGTACTTCTGCAAAAATTTAATTTATTAAAATTTTTAAAATATAACTGTGTCATTATACTAACTGTAATGTTCTATTTGAACGTTTGAGTTCAATTGAATGATCATCCAACATTGACATTTGTTTTGTTTTCAATGCTTCATTAAGTGATTTCTGTCTATAAAATTGAATAAAACCATAGCCCATGGACAAAAGTTGTCCTGGATGATTAGGGTCTTTTTTTCGAGCAATAGTAACATTTGCAATTTTTCCACAAGATTCAAAGTGCTAAACATAATTTTAATTATTATGATGATATCTTTTTTTTAAAACATAATCATTTATTTTTCTTACTTTTGTGATGTGTTCTTCTGTGGTATTAAAATTGATGTTTTTAATAAATAATGTGGTATCAGGTTCAGGCTCATCAATATCATCTTCAATGTCTTTATTGGTAGAATTTGACAAGGTTTCTTCTAAAATTAAAATTAATGTAATCAAACATTATCATCTTAAAAGGTATTTTAGAATTATTGTTTACCATTAACTTTTTGAGGAACATCAGTGAAAACTTTATCTGGTGCCCACTCTAAGTAAAGTGGGAGATGTTTAAATTTAGAATAAGCAAGTTGACGAAACGCTGTTTTTGCTTCTGAGTTTTGTACAAATTCTATTAATCCTATATCAAAACAATACATTGTTAAAAGTAATATTAAGTAACAAATTTTTAAACTTAAATTACCAGTGACACCACTTGGTGGTAATACTACTCTGTTTACTAAGCCATATTTGGAAAAAATGTCTTTTAACTCAAGCTCAGTTGTACCAGCAGGTAAATTTTTAACCAATATAACATTTTTGCTTCGATTTATCACAGTCTACAAAAAGGAATATTCATTATAAATTGCTAACTATTTCATTTAATAATAATTGTATATACTTAAATTATTAAAGAATTTGAAAATATTTTGTTACACAATTTAATATCATTACAAAAAACATTTTTCAATATATTTTTATAGTTATAGTTTTTTTTTTTACTTTTGATATATTTGAATGACAATATACGTTTTTAAATTAATATTATGAGTTAATTAAAAAAAAAAAAAAATGGATGAAAATTGAATTAAAAAACAGTAGTTAATTAATTAAAGGTATATATTATAACATAATATTGGTTCACTATTCCACTTATTTTAACATTTCATATTCTTAAGTTATAACTTATTAATAGGGCTAGGATTTTAATGACCTAAAAAACCTAAAAAAATGATCTAATAAAAACTAAAAAATGAACAAAAAAAGACTTAATAAGAAAAAATGACCTCATAAAATGATCTAAAAAAATATAATTTTATTAATAAATTAATAAATAATAATTATTATTTATAAGTATGCAAATAAATTCATCTTCTGGTATAATGGCCAATATTATACGTATAATGAATAGATATTGGCACGTTAAATTTAATAATAAATTGATGAAGATAACACGTAATTGAACATTATTATCGATTATTGCTCTGTTAATCTAACGAGTATATTTTATATTATACACATAAAAGATTGGTATTTTGAAGTATTAAATATTTTTAGAAGATATGTTTATAATTTTATTTTATGTTTTTTCTTTTTATGTTTGTACAATAATTTATAACGATTAGTAAAGACCATTAAAAATTTTAAAAAAATTAAAAATTAATAAAAATATAAACCAGATTTCAATAAAGTATAAAAAAATTACCTAAAAATGCTAAAAAAATGACCCTAAATTAAAAAATATACAAAAAATGCAAAAATATGCAAAATAAAAACTATATATTTGAACTCGTAGATGACCAAATCACATTTTGTGCTAGAAAAGCTATATCCTGTAAATCCTAAAAAAAAAAATACAAAATCCTATTCTATCCTAGCCCTGCTTATTAACAATCCTGTTAAAATTCAATGCTTATACACATTAAAACATTGTAAAAATATTGTGCTTGGAATAAAAATTAAAAATGTACTCAAAAACTTTATAAATTATTAAAAAAAAAAAAAAAAAAAAAAATAAAACAAAAAAAAAAAAAAAAAATGTTTAGTAACTGAAAATGATGGAAAAAAAATAATTATTTTAATAATCAACCCATATGAAAACACTAAGATAAAAAGATTTAACGAGTTTCAAATTGAGTAAATTTTGGCTTACTTGATTAAATATATCTAGTTTAACACCATGATTTTCTAGGTAAATTTTTGTATCTGATACAATTTGTGATTCACCAAGAGCTAATCTAACGGCAGCATTATCACCAGTAAGTACCTGATGACATAGAATCTCATTAGTTATTAATGTATACAAATAATAGTTATTAATAAAATTTAATATTTTACATTTTCTTTAGTAGTATTATAAGTTTTAGCAATAATGTCAGCAACTGCATTTTGCCCTAAAAATAAACTATTCCAATTGTGAGATAATCCTGCTTCCGATTTTAATTTTGCCATTTTTTTCTTTTTGAAAGAACTGCCTTCATTAGTTGTTTCTAAATTTAAAGTTTAGCAAATTTTTTGAATATTGAAAAAATAATAATTTATATTTCCATTGGTCATTACTCATTACTAAAAAACAAAAATCATACAAAAATATAATAATAAAATTTAAAATAATTACCATCTTCTAAATTAATTTTTGCTTTTCCAGGTAATAAATGCATCATTCGTCCATGAAATATTGTACCATCCAATTCAGTATATGCTTTAACAGCATGTTCAGGTATAAGATATGTAATTAAGCCATAACCTTTGACTTGTCGAGATATTTTATCAATGGGAATTATTACTTCAGTAACAGGACCTATAGAATATAACAGTATATCAGTTTATACATATAAATAAAATAAAAAAATAACTACATTTTAAAAAAAAAATAAAAAATATACCATATTTTTCAAACACTGTTTGTAATTCTTCCTCTGTAGTAATGAAAGGTAAATTTCGAATAAATATACGACCAGATTCTGCAATGCTCTCTTCATGTATCAAACTATCAGCTTGTTTCTGCCAATCAGGATTTCTTTTATTAAGGTTATTATTTTCTTCTTCTTCATCACCTTCATTTTTCATTGGGTATAATAGTATTCGTTTTCCATCTAAAATTTAATAAATTATATTTATATAAAGTTAATCAGTCCTTTGACATCTAAACATACTTAAGAAACTCTTATTTTTAATGAGACATTGTTCCGCGTCACATTTATTTTTGAAACCAATATAAGCTACACCTTTAATTTTAGGTGGTAAACGTATAGAATCTAGTTTCAGTGGTTTGAAAAATTCTTTTAACATGGCCTTTTTTGTTTTATATGGTAAACCACGAATTACAATAGTATGATATTCTGTTTTAGTTTTAGGATTTTCCAAAACATTGGCTTCAGATTTCTTACCACTTTTTATTTTCAAATACTAAAAAATATTATATTATATTTAATAATATTAATACATGCATATTTATAATAATTTTACAAACTTCAAAATCTGATATATTAGCATTTGCAATTTTGTTTGTCGGTTCTTCATCTATTTCTTTTTGAGTGGATGACTCTTCAGTTTTATTTTCATTATTTATATCTTTAAGAATTTTTTCTTGTCCATGAGCTTCCAAGAATTCAGTAAACATAGGATCATTTAAGTGCTAAAAATGTTTTCATTTATTTAGTATTTCGACAAACTTAGAATCAAATTTTTTCAATATTATTATATATTTATATAAACAAGTTTATACAATATATTTATCATTCACATAAAGTGGAAATTGTTTATAATGACTTTAATTGTATTGAAATTGATAAATTGGATTTAATGACTCAAAATTCAAAAGCAAAACAATTGAGTTTTAAATGCTAATTTTCATAGCTTATAATGATTACAGGCCAGATTTTTGAACAAAAAATAATGAAGAATATGCAACAAAAACTTCAAAATGTGTAATATGCATAAAAAATACTAGGAAATGGCTTAAATTACTCTTAAAAATTTAATGTAGCAGATTGTCTTTGATTTCAAATAGAAAATAGATTTAAAGATTTTTTAACAAGATAATTTTAAAGATATATGACACTAAACGTAGGAATTTACTTTGAAATCTTTCTGACATTGAAGATGGTCAGATCCCAAGCAACAAAACTGTATTCAACTAGAGGAAAAACTAATAAACAAAAAAAATATAGTTTAAGTTCAGAATACACTCCTTATATAAAAGTAAGAACTTTGATCACTTTACAACATAATTATTGAAAAAATCTTGGATATTATATTGAATAAAGCAAAATCCTAGATCACAGACAAAATAATTTACCAAAGGTACAGGAACATTATAAATCAAATAATTTGAAGAAATAATGAAAATAACTGAAAAAATTAAAATATTTTATATTTGGACACATTAAGATTAAGACTGTGTAGCTCATTTCAAGAAACTCATTAGTCTAAATAATTTTGAAGTAAGGCAACACCGTGAAGGGATTTAATGGATATAAATTAATTCATATCATCAGCAAAAGTGAAGATGTAAAATACTACTCCTATTGGCTAGAATAAAAAATTAAAAAGAACAATCATACCTTAAGGCAGAGGTTACCAAACTTTTCCTACTTGTGGCGCCCTTAATAAAATTTACGACTTTTTTTTAAATAAAATAGATAAAATAACAAACATGTTTAATTTTTAATAGATAATATGGAAATATTTATTTTATATAATTATATACTGAAATATTTAATTTTAATTTTATTAGGTAAAGTAAATTAAACTTAGTTTATTTTTAGAAAACAATTGAATTAGCCTGGACATCACTACATAGTTTTTCAAATCTTAGGATCAAACTTGATACTGCTACTCTCATTTCTTTTTCCACATTAATTTTTGACCAATATTTGCTTTTTATAAAAGCGGCCGCCAAAAACCCAGCTTCATATAAATATAACGAGGCACAGCCGCGGCTCCTCCAATAACACACTGCGGCGCACAGTTTGGAAACCTCTGCCTTAAGGGACTTCTGATGTGGGAATAAAAACACAAAAAAAAGTACCTAAACCCTAGTTTGACCTAATTTTTTCCTATCTGTTATTTTTAAGTAAAAATCAGAAGAAATATTCACAAAATTCATTATTTAATAATTACTTAGCAAGAATATTATGGTCAACATAATCTAAAGCACTAATATAATTTATGTAGTAAATAACATTTATTGATGAATAATTATGGAAAAATTCAATAATAAAGGAATTAAAACTTAAATCACAAATAATACCAAGTATCAATACATACAAACAATAAAAAATCTATTTATTTAAGGGTTTTAGAAATAATATCATATCGTTTAATTAAATAATTTAATTTAAAAAACTGTGATTCATATTTTTGATATCGACTTTTTAATTCCTGGTTTTTAATAATATCTTAATTTTTAGTTTTATTGGATAAAGGATTTTGTCATTATTTTGGGTATCAAGATAATTTGGGTGCTTAGCCTAGGTATTTTTTAACCAAAAAATTACAAACAAAACATCTATGTTTAGTTATGTACACATATTAAACAGAAAAAAATAAATTCAGTTAACAGCACATTAGTGATAAAATTTTAATAATTAACTTAAGGTTGATCTAGTTTAAAAATTATAGTTTCTTGATTTTTAAATAGTTATTATATAGTATATACCTACCAAAGCATAGTTCAATATCAAGCACAATGTGCTATTGTAATTAATATATTTTACCAACTAGAGTAACAAAACTCAAGGAATTATAGACTACTCGTCTTGAAGATTTGGAATTTCTTCAGCTTCTAAGGGTACATCATAAACTTAAAGGTTGTGATAAAAAAGAACTATATTATCAAACAGTTGATGTATATATAAAAACAACTTTCCATGGTAACTTGCAACTGCAACATTATAAATACCTGTTTTAATTTTTCTTCTACTTCAGATTTGAGTTTTTTTTTTTTATTAGTTTTAGATTCTGTTTGGATTACTTCTTCGGATTTAAGAGTACCATGTTCTTTTTTATAGGCTGTACTATCAGATGCATATTTACTCCATGATCTAGGCTTATTATCATCTCCTAATGTGATCAATTAAAAACCACATATATAATAAAATTAAAATAAATTTATCATAATTAAAACTTATTTGAAATATTTACCTAATTCAGTACATTTTTCTACTTTTATACGTAAAGAATGGACAAATGTATTGTCAAAATAATCTAAAGCTGCGTTAGCTTCTTCTTCATTTTGAAAACCAACAAAAGCAAAATGACGAAACTTTCCTGTTTTTGTATATTTAAGTTGGACGTCAGTAATAACTCCTTTTTCACTGAAAATTTCTCTTAATTTCTCATCGGTTATCTAAGAATATTAAAAAAATATTAGCATTATATTCAGAATTTGATGATTCAAAGACCTCCAAACTAGGTTTTACTTACTGTTTTTGGTAAATTTTTTACGATTAAACGAGACATTTTTGGTAGTAAACTTTTACTTAAGGTACTTGAAAAAATAATGCTTAATATTGTAGCTAATAATTAAACATACTATAGTTATAAAAGTTTATGTTTAATGTTATTGACGTTATTGTACATTTTTATTATACTTATTACAGTATTATAGTATTCGCAATATTTATCACGTGTGTTTCGATTTTGAAGTTTCAACATGATAAAAGATAATAGATATGCAACATTGTAAAAAAATCTGTATACCAACAGAACTGATACCATCATTAACCATAACATCAGTATTCATAACTCTTAACCTTAAGGTTCTGTGTGACTGTGTGACCGAGTACTCGAAGAGTGAGGACTTTCATAATGTTAGCGTTAAAGCGTATTATGTGCAATACGTAATACGTTTAACACGATTTAAATCGTAATGTTAAACGAAGTTAAGATTATAATCCATACTATGTCAATGATAAAAGATAATAGTTGTCAATGATAAAAAATATTTAAGTCACGAACTAATTACTTGATCATCACAGTTTTATTTTAATGTAACCTTAAATAATGTTACGATCATAGTGTTATAATAATGTTAATTTTAGAATACATTTCGAAATCGGTGGCTGATGGTAAACGCAAGTTAATAATCAATATTCTATTATCTTACTATATTGCAATCACCGCCGGTAGCGGCAGAAAATTGATAATATGTTAACATTAAAATTTAATTATATTTTTAATATAACATTTATAACTGTTAAACTGTGACAATTTAAAATTAATTTAAATTACTATAATCAATTAATTTATTATTAGTCAAAAAATCATAATTTATGTAAATTAATCACCGACTTAATCACTATTCTGATTAGAGATTCAATTAACCTTAACCGTAAGATTATTGTTATAAACTATTATTGTGTTGGTTAAAATGTTAATGTACAGTAAATATAATACATGTTATGTAATATGTATAAATGTGTAATCAATTCCTGTCAAAAAAAATAATTTGTATCCAAACAAAATTTAAAATTTGAATTTTATATATGTTTATAGAATATGGCAGACCCATCAATTCAAACATTTTGTTGCCGTAGAGCACTTGATTATAATCCGTCTTATAAACTCATGAACGAATTCAATACAGACCGTTTTAATATGGTGTGTTTACTGTCTTCAATAATAGGAATAACTGGTGCAGCATACCAGGTAATGAACGCTTACATTTTTGTGTCTAAAGAGTAAAATTTGTTTTGAATTGATTAATTTTCATTTCAAAAATAAACTATTGAAATATATAATCAAGATAATAATCATTGATACATTTATTTTAGATATTGCCAAAAGTTGAGCTAAAAGTTCCAAATAGATTTTATTGCAATATCATGCAGCGGGGAAAATATATTATAATGTGGTTAGCAATAGCAGATGTCTGTGCATCATCAGGTATAATCATTTTAACTTTAAATATTTTTGTTTATTATTAGAATATTTACATGTAATATAAAAAATAAATTATAGTACATTAGTTATAAATTTAATTATATTTATTTACCTAAGTGTTCCAAATGGAAAGTTATTCACACTAAAATGCTATGACCATTTTTAAGGGTGCTAAGTCCATCCCTTTTGTCATAAGACAATTTTGTTTTAACAAAATATTTTTATCACTATTAATACCATTCAGTGAATTTTATTATTTTTTTTAATTTCATTAAAATATACAAACTAAAAAATATCAAATAAATAAGTTCTTAATTTTACTTACAAAATTGAAAAATTAATTTAAATGTAGCACAGATGACAATTAATAATTAAAAAAAAAAAGTTGAAAATGTTTAATAAAACAAAAGTTATTGCAATTGTCAGTTTACTGTAAAACACTGTATTTTTACAAACCTTGGTGAAAGTAAAGACTAAAATAGGGAACCAGAAACTGTTCTATTTTATTCCTAGCACTAATTTACCTGTCCTAAGTATCTGTAATTCAAGAGTATCAATGGAGAATTAAAATATTATACATGAACAAAATTTAATCATATTATTCTATTGAGACTATTTTAAAGTATAGGAGACAATTTTGTATTTTGAAAAATACCTTCATCTGGTTGTTTTTTAATTTCAGGTATACTTTTAAGATCTTGTCTAAAATTAATGCATCATTTTCAATGGTACGATGTACAACCATATACAGTTTCTTGTATATTTTTAGCTGTAAGTTTTTAGTTTTAACTTTTAAATTATAAAATTTCTTGGTTTATGTAAAGTTTATTATTGTTATCTTATTTATGAAAAGGTTTGGATACAGTACTTTTACATTGTAACTTGGTTTTGGACTTTGTTGTACGCTGTAGACATGTGGAGAGCATATCAAGATAAACACTCATGTAGAAAATTGTATCATTTTGTTGCTTGGTTAATTCCTGCTATATTTACATTTATTGGACTGTCTACCCTTTATAGACCAAATGCAAAGTATAAAATATTAAAACTATAAAGAGAAGTTAACATACTATTTGTTTTTTGTCACCAACCAATAAGCAACATAGTGTGTGATCAGCAAATAACAAATGTTGTTATCAGCTTTAATATTTGAGTGAATAAACCTATTATTAAACTTATATGTAAAAATATTATCTAGGTTTTTATTAATATTTTAATTTAGAATTAAGTTACTCCTATGTTAAATATTACATTTTTAAAATTCCCATAACTTTCTTTTAGATTAAATAAAATATCAATGAAAACCTATAAGTGATCTAGATCATAGATGATATTATCATCTTAACAGTTGGTAATAAGTTAATTATTACTTTAATATTAAAGCTAGTGATACAAAATTGGAATTGCTGATTACAACTTTGTTGGGAGTTGGTTAGAAATGAATGGTGTATTGACATTCTTTTAAACATTTTTAATATTCATATAACATAATATAATTTTTAAAGTTTTCTAATTTTCTTTTAATTATTTTAGCTGTCATAATTTGAGCCCTAAAGAAAATGTTGTGATGAAGTTCCTTCCAAATTATTTTTTGACATTTTTGCCAGTTATTATTGTTATGATAATCAATCCAGTGCTATATTCTTTATCCACTGGATACATATACCACATAATAACTTCATATATGGCACAATACTCAACAAATGAACGAAAAATGATGGACTTATTTAAACAGAGATTTGCATTAATTAATCTAGCATTTTATTTGTGTTGGGCACCCAATTTAATCAATGCGGTAATAGTTTGGACGTCTTGGGATGACCTTCCAAATGGAGTAATGCTAACACTGTGGTATCTAATGGTATCTATATTCATGTTAATTATAAAAAAAAAAAAGAATTTTGTTTTAAAATACATAATATTTTTTTATAAATATCTCTAATCTCATATATATGTTTTATATAAATTTCTATATTTTATATCAATTTTATTTATTTTTAGGCTATATTGAATCCTATGCAAGCATTTTTCAACAGTTTTCTCTATAATTTACTTGAACATACTGAACAAATCTGTTGTAAATGTTTTGGCCCCCAAAGTAGATTTCAAGAAATAGTAGAATGTAGACCTTTACTAATAGCTAATGTAAAAGGTTCAGCAAATTCAAATGGTTATGAAATAATTGATTGATTGAATATAACAATTAATAACTAAACCCAAACAAATATTTGTTAAAAAAATGTTCAAGACATATTTTATATTTATAAATTATTTATACTAGGTAGATATTTTTTCTATGCAATTTTAATTTTAGTATGTATTGTTTTTTTTTTGTTTTTTTTACCATCAAGGTATATCAATCATTTATAGCTGTGAACAAAATATATTTTTGTTTGGCATTTCCATTATATTTATTGTTTATTACGTATGTTATTAATATATTTTTTTAACAATTGTATTTACTATTTGTATATGCACTTCAGACTGACAATAAAATATATTAGCTTGTTATTTTTTAATGTATATGGTTGTGCATCTTTATTATATTTTATATATTAAAAAATATTGAAAAAAGAATTTTCAATATGTTATATCCTTTTTTTAATTTTATTTTTGTTATTATGACTTATTAAATGATTTATATTTCTTTTGAAATTTAATCCAAATATTTAACTGAATCAGATTAATAATATAATACATGAAATATTTATAAAAAAAAACCAATTTGTATTCAATATTTATAAATTAAAAATTAAATAAAATAGAAATTTTTGGAAAATATTTGAATAGCTAATTTATTGATATTATTCATAACTTGTTTTTCTCCGTCAAACCTTTCACACATACATTGTGCAATATTACATATCATATTATACAGGAGTGATTGCAACAAATACTTATTTTTAATTCAATTATGTACTTGAAGACTTGAAAGACCATGTCTGTTTACTCTATATGTTATGAAACTAAGTTACTCCAATAGTGTTGTTTTACATTATTGTACAACAAAAAACAATTCATTCCATAAATTTATCAAAACAAACTATTGTACATCCATCAACTACCTAAATATAAATATTTTTTGTAACTAAAATGTACCTAGGCATGTATCAATGGTAGATGCCAAACTAATAATGAAGTATTAAAAATTTTATCAAGAGCGGAGATATGACTAAAACTATCAATTCCAAACATTGAAACGTCCCAGCATTTTATTACCAACTGATAAATAATAAATTCAAACCCATCTATAACTGTATAAATATAAGCTAAAAACATAGGGCAGATACGAGTATATCCCCCTAATATCCCCTGTAAATATACAATTAAAAGTTTTAACTATTGAAATTGTTCGTCAATTTTTACATTCATACTAAGCGAACGAAAAAGTATGTACCTATATATCAAATAATAAATTATTAAAATTGACATTTATTTTAAATTAATTAATCAAAATATTTTAAAAAATATTTAGTTTGTGTATTTAACATTTTTTGTGATCAAAAATTAACTTGATAATTTCATAAAATTTACGATTGAGTTTTCCAAATAAGTTGTTTTTAATCCTGTATAACACATTAATACCGGTGAACGAAAAAAATCTCTTCGTTAATAAAATCGTACAAAAAAAAAGTAGGTAAGTACAATTTTATTGTACAAAGGTAGTTAATGTTCCATTGTACATTAGGTATCGAGTGAGTCGCTAGAATGTGTGTATTCATTTTGAATTAAATGATATATCATCGGTGTATTATTCGGTTATTTGGTTTTTTGGTTCTAAACCTTTTATTTATGTGTCTCATGGCGTATCTACAAAAAAATATGAACGAAATTTCAGAATAAATGACAAAATGAAGGGTCGAGTATCTACACTGTACATTGTACAACAACCAGAATAGATACTGGATAAAACCACTTTTTCGAAAATAAAATTTAGAAATAATTTTTGTTGTCCGGTTCTTCACAGTGTGAACTACAGTAATTACACCGATCTAAGTGTCCCAATCGTTGTTACTATCCGTAGTCTAAGATACGCCAAGCTATCTCGTGTTTTGCGTTCTCACACAAATTAATATTCATAAGTATTCATGAGTTTATGATCCGCTTATTATATACAAATATGTAATGTTATTTTTATACTGTTATACAGTTATGTATTACTGTTAATAAATGTTATTATTTATAAATGATGCTGTATCTGTAGACTGTAATAAAGATTATTATTATTTTATTCATAGTTGAATAAAATCTAAGGTAGCCGGTAGGTAGGTACTAGGTATATTGAGCTGTTTGTAACGAGCGTAGTGCGTACCTACTGTCCGTCGTCTAAATTTTGTATTGACGTATAGTGAAATTATTATTATTTTAATAAGTAAATTTAAGTAGTTAGTTGAAAAATTTGTTCGTTTGGTAAATTATAAATAAGAAAATAAAAAGTACAAAGGTGTATGGCGTGAAAAATTGCTGAGAACCGAGGAATTTTTTAAAAGTGGAGAAGTCTAATTTTTGTTATATGTAAAAAGTATAAAATAAATTTTATTGCTAAAAAACAAAAAACATATTGATACGTAAACTTTTTAATAGGTAAAAGAAATAAGACGTATAAGTACAATTTAAATTTGAAAAAATGTATAAGAATTTAATAAATATTTCCTCTAGTAAATCTAAATGTCATACCTACATACATACATCAGTCTCCGTGGTCTAGTATACGAGTAGTTGGGACTGGTTGGCGGACGTTTTCAGCTCCTTGGTTGCCGAGTCCTAGGATAATAGCACATCTACCTCCGTCGTTACCGTAAATGGAGGTAATGAGGCTGCTCGGTCGACCGTTACGGAGTTCAGAGTTGGCTCAGGATTGTTGTCTAACCGCTGTTCCTGGCTTGCTACAAGCTCCCTGGCCTTCCTTTTTTCCTTTATTTAGATTTAGGAGTAAATTAAATTTGTATTTAATTAAAATAACGTATTTTTTGGCCCATGCATAAATGAACAATTATTATGGTAGTATAATCAGTGGATTAAATATTTCATATTGGATGTCGGCTGTTTGAGCGACAATATTTTCGGTTTAATAATAAAATTATTGTTGTAATGACACCAAAAATATCATTGATATTTATTTCTATACTGACTATACAGTATACGTCTTATAAAACGATTAATAGTTACACGCAATAAATGCGAGATCTCATGTACGGTACGGCACCCCTAAAACCTAGTTAAATGCAACTTAATATACAAGATTTCTTATCATCATAAGCTGAACGATTTGTATGAAAAACGATCATCTAAATAGCTTTGGTCATTCAACTTCAGACACAAAAAGTTTCAAAGGTCTTTAAATATTTATTAATTATTTGACTGATAGGCAATACCGTAGTGTTCTATGGCAATACTTGGGTTCAATCAAGGTACTGATAATAGGTTATTTATCAAAATTATTTTTTAATGATTATTGTTGTAAGTGTTTATGTAATTTTTTTACAATTTCATTGTTTTTCTGTTTAAATAAATATCAATTTTAATAAATTCTTGTTTTTTAGTTCGGTATCTTAGTATCTATTCTCATAGATAAACATAATTAAAAATAAAATAATTTTGAATAATGTTTAAAATTTTAAGAAGTCAATTTTCTTCTTTCATTATACAAATGCCCCACCGCCCCCACCTATCTGGGATAGTAGTAAAAAAACTGTTCACGAAGAAAACAAAACCTGTAATACTTTGTAAGTAATTGAATTTAATTGATTACAATTTACAATTATTATATAAATGTAATTAAAATAAATTGACTTGTATTATGTTTAATATGAAATAATTTATATTTTATCAATTTTATTAGAAATGAGAATATTATTTTTACTTGACAAATTTTCAATAAAAATTTTCATTAAATTTATTAATTGTATTTTCATATTTTATTATTAAAAAAACTAGTATAATATTTATAATTTTATAAAATAATAATACTTTTATTAGATTCCTCACATGTTAAATATGTCCAGTTCAGCTTACTCTACAACTAATATGACTGTGTTATTGTACCTTTTATTGTATTTCTTAATTTGTCCTAACTTTGTGTTTTCCTTTAATCAAACATGATATATTACTACCTAATCTATTTTGAAAATTAATTCCATTGCTCTAGTAGCCAAAGGATTATTTTAACATAGTACTTATATTTTATAACAACCATATTTAATTTAAAATATTTTAATATTTAAGACAAAGCCAAATCAAATTCATGCTCACTTATTCAAAGTCGCAGTTTTTCTGCTACATCTCAACCATTAATTACAGAAATTAATTATGAAAAATTGAAAGAATTAATGAATCAAAATGATGTATTAATTATTGATGTACGTACTAAAGAAGAATTAGCTGCTACAGGAGTTTTACCAAATAGCTATAATATTCCACGTGTGTAACACATTATTATTTTTGTAATTAATATTAGTTAGTATAGCTATTTAAATTTTTTTTTTTTAATTTTAGTTGATGAGTTAAATACTGCATTTGAATCTGCACCTATCAAATTCTTAGAGAAGTACAATGTTCCTAAACCAGATAAGGATCAAAAAATTATTTTTTCTTGCGCCAAAGGAATAAGGAGTTTAAAAGCATGCCGTTATGTTGCAGACTTGGGTTATAAAAAGTATATATTTTGAATAATCTAATTTTATATAGACATGATAATTTGAAACTTATTTAACTTATTTGGTTTTAAGTCTTTTCAATTATACCGAAGGATGGTTTGGATGGGAGTCACACAAATGAAAAAATGATACCATTAATCATTTTATAGGTTGATACTTAGTGTATCTACTAAAGTCTAAAAGCAAGTAGACTGTTGTTTTAAAATTGTATTTTTAATTTATTATTAAATAACAATATTCAATGTTATACAAACTTAAATAGTTTTGTTTTAGTTTATCATACAAATACTGTTTAAGGTTTAAATCTTAATTATTCACTTACCTTTTTATAAAAGAAATGTTGACAACAATTTTCTTAATGCATTAGTGATAAATATGATCTTAAATTTAAAGTAGTGAATATTGTAAGGATGTTTAATAAGTGATTTAGTAAACCTATGAATAATATTATATTAATTTAATCACATAAACTAATAAATAATAAAAAATAGTACATGGATATTTTAAAATGTAAACAGTAAATATTGCTTTAATCCAACATTATTTAATTTTAATTTTTTGTAATTAATAATAATTTGTTGCAATAAAAATATAGTTTATTTATATATTTTTAATTTACAGATTTTTGTATGGATAAAAGAAACAACTATAACAGTAGATTGCAGCCTTATAATTATTTAATTATATAAAGAATTATTCATTTATATTATATATAATCATAATAATTTGTTTATTTATCTGAATGAAAAAATTTTTCTATAGAAATTACATAAACTTTAAATTGTTTGTGAGGGGGCAAAGGATCAAATATCACTTCGCCTTTTTCATTCTTATATTCTTCGTAGTTCATGGAATAAATGCATTGAAATCCTAGTTTCTCTGCTGCACTAGCAGAAAAATAACTGCTACAGTCGACACGAACCATTGAGCATTTGTTTTCTAATGCCAACTCTCTAAAATTTAAATTTAAAACCTTAAATAACAACAAATAATAATATCAATAATATCATAGTATGTGACAAAGTGTCCTAACAAGTATTAAAAGAAAAATAAATTCAATGATTTGATTTTGACAGAATATTTTTTAACAGATTTTTTTTGTGCTTAATAGCATTTGTGTTTTATTAGTATTCAATTTTTTAGACGCCTCAAAACCCACATTGGTTTTAAAAGGGTTTTATGTAGTTAGTGTTTATTTTTTATGATAAGTTTGGAGTGATTCCTTAAAAGTGAATAAGGAGTTATATGTCTGAAATTTAACAAAAGCTTTTTTTATTAAATTTATTCTGCTCTCTATTACTCTATTGTCAAACCTAAAAATCTGATATTGGAGATGTCAATGAAATAATTTTATTGTTTAAAATAACTAGAAGAATTTACCTTTTTTAAAGCTATAAATAATTTGAGAAGATTTCACTATTTATTTTATTTTTTTAATTAAGAATACCACTATTTTATATCATTTAAATTATTTTTTAAATATTGAATGGTAGACCTTTGGATATTATAATGAAATGTTAAAATGATAATGTAATAAAAAATTTAGCTATTAAAGTTAGAACATAATAATTGGTTGGTTAGCTGCGTGACTATATGTTGTATAGGATGGAATACAAAATTGCGTCTTGTGAGACACCAGCTATAAAATATGAGTTAACTTTAAGACTATTTAGAGTCAATGTTACAGAGCTTAGTATCAATATGATGATTTTCTAGGTACATATAGGCTATAACTTGAATAAAAATAGGTAGGAGGGAAAAAAAAGATGTAAAATATATTTTTTTAATAAATTAATTACAAAGAAGAGAGAAAGTAGGTACCTATACCTATCCACTTTTTAAACAGTAAGAGTCGAGTGTTATTTAATACTCAGCATTGAGTAGGTCACTGTAATGGAAATAGTATTGAGTTTGAATTCTGTGATAAATTATTGCTGATACGAAAAACGATTTTAAACGGAGACTTTTGTTAGCCTATTATCATATTAATGTATTGTTATTAAATAATAAAAATTGATTACTATAGTATTTTATTTTATTATCAGTGATGCTGTATAAAATATAAATAGGTAATAAGATAAAATTAATCGAAATATTTTAAAAATGTAATTAATAATTATGTTTATGAAATATGATAAAATACGTAAACGTTTAAACTATAAATTATAGTATCTTAGGAAGTAGGTTCCTAATTTCCTAGGGTAATATAATAGGTAATAATAATAATATTTGTTTATACCATTATACCTTATACGTAATAATTTACTGTCAGTAAATTATCATTATGTCTATTTATAATAAATAGGTTATTATAGTTAAAAAGATATATCAACAGAGTAAAGATCAATGCGTGTCTAACGTACTTGCTTTTATAAAAAAGAGCTTTGCACACTCCTTGACCTTTAAATGTTTCATTCACAGCGACAGCCTTAATATCCATTACCCGATTTACATCTGGGTATCTTTCAAACATAGCAGATTCTTGTTCGATTTTTTGAAAAAGTGTCATGAATTCTTTGAACTTAAAACTGTTTTCTTGGTCATCGATTTTACTGCTACAATTACTTGGTTTTTTGTTTTCTCGGTCAATTATTTCGTTGCTAATAAAACCAATCAAATCTCCGTCCGAAGACACGGCTTTAAAAGTTAAACCTAGATTTATAAATAAGACATGATTTTTGCTGTATAGTTTATAAATTATAAACATTAACTGACATTTAGATAGTAAATTCTTTGATGTAAATGAAGTAATAAATCAATTGAAAGCTTGAATGTTATATTTATTTAATGGAAAACTGACACAAGAATATGTATTCAATAAAAATAAAAACTCGAAAACAAATTTTTTAAATTTTACTGTCATAGATGTTTGATTATTATTATAATTATTTGTGTATGAAATATAATTAGTTTAATGCTTACCGTAGAACATATTGATAATATAATTATAAAGCTATAAATGCAACTTGTAAGTTCCACTCTAAAATTCTACTTCTATTTTTTCGTTATTTGCTAAAATTTTATTTTTTAAATTTTATTATTTTTATTTCTAAATAGTTTATATTACTATTTATATATAAGGTAATTTACTACGCATGCTGTATAATATGCTTCTCTAGTTTCACAAATCTATTTTAATTTTAATTTTTGGAGATTTTTAGTATACTTGTAAAGACGATACTTAAAAATAGAACCTAATTATTCGCCATAAATGTTAATCAGGCGATTAAAACGATAATATATTTAAATTGCAACTCTAAGGAATGGGTAATTTATAAATTTTATTATAAAAGTATATATTTATTATTTTATTGTTATATTTTATCATAATATTTATATATCAAGAATAATAATTTATGGCGTGGTACTGGGGTGAAATTCTTTGATGATTTAAAAATTATAGAAGTTAATAAGTATTAATATTAAACATATTAGCATTTTATAACTTAGGTTAGATATAATAGGTAACCTACCTATTAGGCTAAGCATATTATTCATTTTATATTTGATTGAAACCCATTATCCTTAATCCTTAATACATAAAGTTTAATAACCCAGAAACCAAAGGCTATTTACAACTAGCTTACTGAAATATAGTTGAAATAATTTTTTTTATATATAAGAAATTTAATATATAAACTATAAAATTAACCACAATAAGTAAATGCGAGAAAGATTATAAAAAATAAATTATTGAAGTTACGTGAATAAGGAGCCACACATTAGTAACATTTAACTCGGAATTTATGTTATTACAGTATTAAGTTAAAAGATCTCAGTATCATTTACTAAATAACTAAATTTTGTATTATTAGATATACGCATTCGTTTCAGCATAATGTATGTATAATGCAACTTACCATTATCCAAAGTTCTGAAAAGATGATTTTGAAGTTTTTCCATTGATTCAAACTCTAACTGTTTACACATTACTAATGGTTCTCGTTGAAAGAAAAATTTTTTTATAAATTCAATAACTCTTTGTCTGTCATTCTCATCATTGGAAGACATTGGCACGATATTGTAGCTGAAACGTTGCTTGTTTACGTCGAACTTGTTCATTTTCTTTAATTTATTTGTAAATTGAAGTGTGTATTGTAACTATAATACTATTATATTAGTTTTGTTTTAATTTACATAAAATATTAAACGAAAATTTCTACGTAACTAATTACTATAGTAGGTACCTACCTAGTCAACGTATGTTGGTAGATTAATACATATATACTAAACTTACATTTACATGTAGTGTTAACTATTTAGTATTTACCGCTACATATAATATGGTAAGCAATATTTATGAGTATAAAATATATATTTATCTTAATTAACACCAATGCGCGTAGACATACAATTTTTAAAATTATTTTGTTGTTATCTATAATAAGATTACCACTATATTGTCTATATTATACACATTGTATGGATACAAAATATATATATATATATATATATATATATAGCCACTTAGACATAATATAAAATTATATTATGCCTGTTAAATATTATTCTATCTAAAAGTAAACGGCAGTATTTGTTGTATGAATATCAGCTATATATTAGATATTTATTTTATTTGTTTCTAAACAACCTTCCAATTAGTATTAATGATTAAGTATATTATCGTAAATAAGAATATTGTTTATTGTTAGATTGTTTTTAATTAATTTCTAAATTTGCACTTACATGTTTGAATTACATTAGTTAGGCCTTAGGCGTAGACGTATAGTGTAGTAGGTTTAAAAATATTTTTTTTTTTTATAAAATAATTTCATTGTTCTTTTTAAATTAATACCTTTTACAGTTTTACTTACACCTAATGATTTAAATCTTAAATATATACATTTGTTTGTTCAATTTTTGTAACAACTAATTTACTATTATCTATTTTTACTTAATAATTAATAGGTTAATAGTAGATATACATGAATATATGATATGATTAATACTCATCAATTTTTCAAAACATTTAAAAATAAATTTATGTTCCATTTCACAAGTGTAGCACCACTTACAGGTGCAATTAATGTTAATCGACAAATACTATTAGCTAATGGTAGGATATTTTTTACGTCTTCACATTTCTCAACTATGCCGATAAAAGTGGTTGTCATTATTAAACTCAGATCTTTGTATATTTCTTTTAATATTTCCAAATCAGCTTGAATGGCTTCGATATCTTTGTATTTAGCAAAATCACTGCTGGAAGGAAATATTAACATAGTATTTTGTAAAGTATCAAAAAATAATTTTAAATTGTCTATAGTAATATGTAATTTACTTTAAAAAATACTAATTTTTGATAAAAAAAAAATGTCTACTGTTTTCAACAGTAGATAAAAAATTGCGTTAAAATGTTTAAAAATTTTGAAGATTAATGCGTGGGGTAAGTTTGATTTTGTTAAAAGAGATAAATTGGCCATAACTTGAAAATATAAAAAGTTAGACCCCCTCTTTAAAGGATATTTATTTCTTCATCGTTTATGGTATACTTTCATACAACGTCATAATGACGGCCGGCCACTTATCCTCTGAACACATAGTGTTTATATCTATGTATATACCTAATGTATTTAGTTTAAAATAACATTTATTCCAAACATGAATGTAGTATGTAAATATTGAACAATATTTAAAAATATTTAAACATTTAAAATGTACATGGAAGAAATTAAAATGATCGATACATACTATTTCAATATTGAGCAAGCAACAAGTTATAACATATCTGGTAATGTAGTAACCTAGGTACTAGCGAAACGTATAAATGAATTTCTAAATATTTAAATAATTTATAAATATAAATGATTGGCATATAATCCAAGGCGAAAACATGTTAATCGACAATAAAGATCGCACGTTATCTATTGTGAGTCGTAACTATAATAAAGTATAACAATAAAAGAAAATTATGCTGTTCACCCGATACATCGATGTCATTATTGATTCACACGCAAAACCCTTAGATCATATACTGCATAGAATCTAAAATGTCGATAGAAAAGAAAGACCGCGCGTTGTTTATATCCTGATGATAAAATAATTAACAATAAAAGTAAAATTTGCTGTTCACCTGATAATTTGGTTTCATTATTGTCTAATACAGTTTATAAGGACGCATTAGTGAAGTGTTCATTAAGTCTGGACACAATTAAATACAAAACAAGTATAAAAATGGAGAAAATTCTTCATAATTCTTTAATTAACTATTTAGTTTTTACTATTTATTTATATTTATATTTTGACTGTATCTTGTAATAATTTTTTAAGTACAATTTTGATATAAATTCCATTAGGTTAGTTGACGCCAAAACAGCCGACACCAAATCGAATTAGCGCCAAAACGTCCTAGACCGCTATAAACAATTATCAATATAATTACTATGATTACCACGTTGGCACGTTACCTTGCTGTGATAACTTGTCTCAACATCTTAAAACCAGATCACAAACAAATATAGCTAATGTAAGGTGTACTATATAAAAAATCTATTTTTTATTAAATATCTTCACACATTATGTAAGAACACAATGTATAGGCGTCAAAACCTATACTGACTTAAGAATAATATAATTTAAATATCTTATTTTGTTTTTAAAACCTGCAGATTTTCATAATTATGAAACGTTATTATTTTATTATAAACTTATTTATTGTTAAGAATTATAATACATACCTATTATACTGTATACTTTAAATCCAACAGTGGAGATTTTTTGTCACCGATATCACTGTAACGGTACTTAGATATAAATATATATATGAGTATATTATATATACATCTTTAGCTTTGTACTAAAGTATAATACTGCAGACCGCAATTAACTGTAATTAATTAATCGAAATTTTAATAGGTACTAAATAGGTTCCAATCGAAGGTTCTCCCTCTTTACGACACTCACTCTGAGTATATTGTTGTAGTAATTTATCTGGTCACATTCGAATTATTATTGGACGGTCGTTAGTTGTCACTACGTCATTAAATTATCGTCAGTTTATACGCGTGTATAAAAAATCGGGCGAGTGTACCTACATATTTTATAACAATTGTGAAACATTATGTTCTAAGAAAGCTGATGCCACACCGAAATACCTGTTATACCTAAACATACATCACCACTCGTCTCTTTAATATAATATAGTTCATCGATCGAGTATAGTTACAATTTAATTATTTATATCAATCGTTCAATCACAATGTCGGTCTATGAAAACGTAGACTACAATGGCTTGTTGGCGAAAATGGACCAAAAATCGTTTGTGATCGATGTCCGTGAACGTCACGAGCTTGCTGCGACTGGATCGTTACCCAACAGTATAAACGTTCCACGTAATATAACACATAAATCATAACATAATATATTACGCAATAAAATATGTCTATTTATGTATCGTAATATTACCTAATTAACAATTTATATATTTTTAACGGTACCTATCGTTGACTTCACGATAGTAGTTTTTAGGATTTTAGGCGTGTCATCTATATTAGAGTAAATGTTTATTTTATTTTATATAATATTTTCTTAAATATTTGCATTTTAAAAGGCGTTGACGTATTGAATTTATGAATAATCTGTATCTTTAAACTAACATAATATAAATAATCAAAAATTACAATTCATATTTTCATACCTAATCAATAGTCTGACACGATAAAAACATATCGTTTATAATTATTGATAATTTACTACCTAACTATTGATGTAGTAGGAAATTATTGGTATGATTTTTTTTTACGTATTCGTAATGAGTAGGTACCTACTGAGTAGTGACCTATTTTATTATTTTTAAATTAGTATGATATTAACATCTACTACGATGTTTTCATATTATGCGGGACTGTTGGGTTTGAAAATTAAAATGATTATTATTGCAGTCGGTGAGTTGGAAAACGATTTGAACCTGCCCGATGACGTATTCAATGAAAAACATCAAGTGCCTAAACCCGACAAAGATAACGAAATCGTATTCTCCTGTGCTCGGGGAAATAGAAGTCGTCGTGCAGCTGAAATTGCTTTCAAACTAGATTACAAAAAGTAAATAACAATAAATTGTTAATGTAACATAATTATGTGAACTACCATATCATAATTCATAATATCACATGAGTATGAGGTTATCAAAAATTAAAAAGTGTAATATTATTTACATTTTTTTATATTTTATGGATCAAATCTTGTTTGGATTGCCTCCCGCCTGCCTCTCAGTTATTTTCGATGTAGAAGAACATTCCCCCAATAATATATTTTTAAATGCAGATATTTTTCCACCTTTAAAAAAAAAAAATTATTTGAATATTAAATTATTTTTTTGTTTAATTTCTAAGTGTGCATTTATTAAAACAGAATACATTTCTTTAATATTTCCATTATTATAGATGTATATTTTAATTTTAATTGATCATTATTTATATAAATATTTATAACAAAAACAATATAAAGTAATTTAAAAATAAAAAATACCTAATGTTTAAAACAAGTATTATGGGTAATAATAATAACAATTATATCTTACAAAAACTCACTATAGTTATACTACTAAAAAAAGATAAGATATATACCATTTAACTATTGAACTGTTAAATTGTGTCCTAAACCCCTATCAAATGTTTAAAAATTTAAATTTAAATCTATAATTATATTTTTGGTAATACATATTTGTATTTGCATATTTATTCTGTTAATAAAAAATTAAATATTAGATAAAAAAAAAAATGTACCTGTGAAAAGTGTAATACTACTTTGAAAATAATCTGTGGCAAGTGGAGGGGAATTGTTCAATTACTCACATCCTATTCTAATACTGATGTATATAGCATACCTAATCTAGTTTGACTTTACAGGTTATTTAATTACACAGGTGGTTGGACTGAATGGTCGGTGAAACATCTAAGTACATAAGATTATTTAAAACTTGGAAACAATCAAGTGAAGTACTAAATAAGTACCTAGTACATATTATATTATATGTATCTACTACACGTGTGATAAGTGACAATAATTGGCGAAATGTAATATTTAAATCATAATAATTTAGCAGTAATTGCATACTACAATGGCCACAAATATTAATTACAATTTTAAGGGAGTTGGGAATCTAATAGTTATTACTTATTAGGTAGGTACTATCTACCAATACTGTATCATATTTTTTATGTCTCAATTTCTGTTTATCTTCTTGGTGTGTTTTATCTTTTTAAATACACCTAATCATTTTAATACCAAATGGCTAATACTTATACATAATTTTATGATTGAAGTTTAAATTTTTAAATTTTTCATTGGTTTAAGAGAGAATAACATTTTACTTAGTATATTAGTTTGAATCTTGTATTTTATAAGTTATAATAATGTAATGTTTAAAAAAAAAAAATGCAATATCTATGATTAAAATATCAATAATTGTTGCAACCCTCATTTTGGTTAAAAATGATATTATGACAAAATATATCAAGTTTCTTTAAATTTATTTTGATTTAACAAAGTATTATAATTTGTAACTCACATAATAATTTTTAACTATATCATTTTAGTTTTTTTTTTTTTTTTTCAATTCATAAGCCAATAAATAGATAGATGATAAAACATGATGGCAAATGTTGAAGTAATGACACATAGACATAATGATGGCAAGATAGCTTATACATACTAGATTTAAGACCCACGAAACTTGATCAAGATGTTATAATATAAAATTTCTTAATAAATGTTAATAGCTCACAATTTTTTTTTAATTTACATTTTTTATTATTGACTAATTATTGTAAATTATTATATTAATATACACCCACACTGGGTATATTTATCTCAATCTAAAATAATAAAATAGGCACCTAATTTGCTACACAAATTTTTGTAAGGTGCAATACATTGTTTTTACTGTCTGGTCAGGTGTATGCATATCTGAGCAGCACTCATTAGTAGAGTGAAAATGAAAACTATAGGATTAAACTCAGTTTTTTCACATAGTATATATTTATGAAGACATTGTACCCGTGTTGGTTATTTTCGTTTTAATATTGCATAAAACCGCAAATGTTATGTTCAAATTAATCCATTTTATTTAATTTTAAATTGTATAGTGAATTAACCAATTACCAAATTTAAAGGTAACTGTAAGGATATTATTTATTCCATTCTCCTTACCAATGCAAGCTTTATTTTATATCTTAATTTTAAAGTAAGTTATGTGTAGGTACTAGGTATTGTAAATTGAATGTTTTAAATTTTTTCACAACAATGTAAAAAGGATTATACCAAATTTAAAATTAAATAAGTATAGCGTGTGTTAGTTAAATAGAAAGTACACATAAGATATGCGTAAAATGTTATGCACATAGACAATATTAATCAAAGGACAATGAACTATAATTTAATATTATATTTACATAGATAACTGTAGTTGATACTATGTGCTGACCTATCCCATTCATTTTTTTTATTATTTATGTGTACAAATTATAAGAATATATTGTATAAGTGCCAGGCATACGAGGGCGTCATTTTTTAGAATAAGGGTATGCGGTTGCACCCTTTACTTTTAAAATAGTACTAATTGATATACGCTTTGCTGAAATAATGCTCAAAATTAAATCTTCTTAAAATTGTATTTTAATTTTTACTATTTATATTAATACAATGATTTGGTCCATGCGATGTATGGAAATGATTGAAAGCAGGATAATGTACATATATCTATTTTTAAACGGTCTGGTGAAAATTCAAAATGGCCTGTTTGAAATCTCACACACCCAAAAAAAAAAACCTGAAATAACACCCTTGCAGGCATACTGGTTTTCTTTTAAGAATAATATAATTTAAGTATAATACTGTTTTTAAAACCAAATTTTTGTAAAAAAAAAAAAATAATAATATTGAGATGTAAAAATTATGCTTATTACCTATATATTGTTATAAGTCTTCAATTTATTCACAAAAAAAAGTACATAATGCATACAATGCATATTAAAAATGTTAATTTTTAATAGTTCAGTAATTATGCACATGTAAATAATTATTTTGAAGTTTGCAATTTATCTGGTTGATATTGATCTGATATGTAGTATTATCATAATTTTCTGAAATACATTAAATATGCACATTAATCAACATAATTTTTCTTTTTTTAATTTGAACAACAGTTGTCTATTTAAATGGTACCTAAGCAATTGTTTAAATTTATTTAGAATTATAATACATATTATATTATTTACTTACAGCGTTTAGCTTTAGCTTCAGCAGCATCTGATGCTGCAACAAAGGTTCTTTGTAATTTTCCTTTACGTTTTTCTCTTAAATCATCAGCCAAACCTTCTGATAGTGTTTCAATAAGATCCATGACTTTTTTAGGGTACCTTGAATAATTAAATTATTTAAAAAACAATATTAACAGGCTGTAATTTATAGTTTGATTGAAATATATAAGTATACAAAATTATGAAAATCAATTAAAATTTGAACTTACTGGCATCCTAAAAACTCAATATTAAAAAACACTTGAGCTAAACATACTAATCTATCCTCAGGGTATTTATCTTGATGAGAAATTAAAAATTGACGCCTGAATTGCCAATGATCTTCATATTCATGTTCAGTTCTGTATTTATCAACATCCCAAGATGTGTCAAAAGACATAATTATAGCTACCTGTAAATAAAAAAACAAGAAAATTAAAGTTCAAACAATTACATAGGTTAAAACTTTAGGTTAATACTTTTTTTTAATTACATTGATAAATATGTTAGTATTGAGAAATTTGTAAAATTTCTTCAACATTAAAAAAAAGCAACATTAATTAATAGTCAAAAAATATATATAATAATAATAATAACATAAACAAGATAATTGATTTAACAAACTTACTATTTTAGAAAACTGAGTCTTACTTATTCTTAAACCTTTAAAAAAAAATACTAAATAGACCCAAATATTCGTTAAATCAAAAAAAGTTATTAGTTAATATGTTGTAAGCTGAAGCCTGAAGAGTAAATTGTAAACAAATTATTATCGTTTATCGGTGTTTTGGTGATGAGTACAATGTGATAAAACATGATAAGGATGATATAAATATAAAATAATATTAGACATCAGTCATAACACTCATAACTCATAAGTCATAAGTTATTAAACTTTTGGGATACCACATTACCACCGCCTATAGACTTGTAATAGTTTTAATCACATTGTAATAGAAATTAGAAAGTATAAGTTTATGGATCTATCCTCTATTTATTATAAGTCTAACTTCTAAGCTTCCTCCAATGGGTGTCATCCCCTCTTCTGATCTTTTATTATTGCACTAATATTATTATATCAATTGCTTATTGTATGAACTTTTAAAATATAGATTGTAAAAAAATATTAATTTAATTTGGATCTATAACCACGATTTACATTTACATGGACGTGGAGAATAGAGATATATTTTATATGGTGATCTATACTTCCATTACCCATTCTGTTCACTCTTTGATTGAAATATTATATTTTAATAATTAAAAAATTAGTCAGTATTAAAATGTTGTATACACTGTTTTACACGAGTACATGACCAAATCTCGTTGAATCGACTAGAGTTTAGCTTTTGATCAATGGACAGTATAGATATTTGAAGATGAGTATCTACTTTTTTACATAGTTTTAGTTTCATAGTACCTATGTGTCCTTTGTGCTTTAATATCAATTTTAACAAGCTTTTGACAAAATTGTAATCAAGCAGATATCCAAGCATTGGTTTTGAAGTAAAATGGCTCTCCGTTTTTTGGTGTGTATAGTTTTAGCGAATCGTGTAATGGGAATTATTTTTAACTAGATACTTAAGTATCCTGTTTGATTTTCGTTTGTGCGACTGCGCCTATCGGGGGCATTGGCTGCTATCTTAATAACTATTTGAATTAATTTATTTAGGTACCTAGTTATGGTATCCGTGTAAATGTGGCCTTTGGGTAGTATACAGTACTGTATATCTGGGGTTCCAAGTCCATTTTTACAGGAAGATAAAGTAAGTTTAAGAAAACATTACACGTTCAACGAGTACCGTGTAAATATTATAAGTATGTTAAATTTTTTTTTATGCTTATATCAATATATATTTTTTTAATTTCGTTTCGATAATTCTGGTTTTTAGGTATGGGATTTTTTTTTCTTATTATAGAACTACAAGTACCCAAACGGTCACCAATCGATAGTTAGGAACACCAGACAGGGCTTGACCACGGCACTATTCAATGATACTGCGCCACACCATGACCATGCCCTATTAATAGTATTCATAAAAATATATTTACTGCACAAAAAACATTAAATCTTAGATACAATTTTTTGTTTTTTATAGAAATGTACATATCCCCACAAACTGGATCAAATTTTCTACCAGAAGTCTAGAAACCACCTTCAAAGTGAAAAATCAAAGCATTTTTATTTATCATTGCACTAAAAGGTGATTGTAGACAGAAAAAAAAAATTGAAAAATCAATACATTTAATAATTAATACTCTACTCAGAATTTAAAATTAGATGCGAATAATCAAAAACCGATTACGTATGACAATTTTAACTAAATTATAAATGTAAAATTATATGCACAGATAGCGCACAAATATTAAAAACTTACGTTTTTAAATCAACCTGAATAAAACCCTAAACTTTAAATTATAATTGAACCAAAGTTTTGATATTTATGAGAAATTTACGGTCTGGACAAATTTTAAATCATATTCGTTCATGGCAGAATGTCTATTCAAATTTGAAATTTTGTGGTAATCATTTTTCTTCATTGTATCATATGTTTCTTCCATGCTTCATATGTTTTTATAGTTATTTTATCAGTGGTAAATTTTTATCAAGGTTACAGAAAACAGAATACAGAGTTTTTCAATTTTTTTACCTCGTCTAGTTAGGCAGATCTAAAACATAAGGTTAAAGACAAATTCCGGTTGACGAATCACCAATTAAAAGTAAGTACATGATTACACTATAATTTATAAATTTCGCATTATAATAGTATTATGTTATTCGATAATACATTTTATTGACGATTTTTATTTTTGTGATCATAGTAAATTAATATTATACTAGTTTAACCTACTATAGTATTACCTATCTAGTGTCATGCAAAACATTTATCATTATTTCTAAATACATTTGTATTTATCATTACATTTAATTCAGTTTGTTTGTACTACAAAATAATCAGACCCGTCTCAAGTGTTAAAACACATATAGGCAAACTTGAAATCTTTTGTTCCTTACATATAAAATTTTTAAAATTTACCTATCTATAATACAAAAATGTTAAATGCTGCTCTAGGTGTGAGCCTATGTCACCTACCTCTTGAGTCAGAGTTGAAAGTAATTTATATCTATTCTAAGTTTCTGAGTATCTATTTAAACCTTTTTCTTAATGTCTAAAAAATAAAACATTGCTAATTATTATTTGAATAGGTACATTAGCATTTAAAATTTTGTTTTTTTTTGGTTTTTATTGATGTTATATGCTCAGTACAGAACAACATGCATAAAATATTTTTAAAATACTATAGCAGTTGAAACATCATTGTACGATTAAATTCTTATTAAAATAAAACTTACCAGCAATATGCTGTATAAACTTAAAAACACATCTTTTTGAAAAAGTTCTAAGTACTAATTTTTAGCAAATAGACCATGTTTATCTTAAATGTGCCACTACTTATAATATCTATAAATAATATGTAGTGATTGATAAATGTTGAGAACAACTGCTCAACATCAATTTTACCTGTCTCTGTCATGTCTGTTGTATAGAATTGGCATATTGCAGACTGGTTATTTAATATTTCTCACCAATATTGATTATTAAATATTTTTTCAATTAGAAATTTGTAGTGCAAAAACATTATCTAGGTATAAATATGTTTATTACATTCAAATAATATTTTATTAAAAAATTAAAGCATTATATGCCCACTTATCTTATTTTCTATTATATTAAATATTACGATTGGTAGATATCATACTTAGAGATTGTCATATCTTTTTTCTTATGGAATGATGTTATTGGATTGGCCAACCTCAAATGATAAGTGACTTAAAATTATATTAAATAAATGTGCTCCCTTTATTAGTAATCTAAAAAAATGTTCCCGTTTATAAAATCATGAAAAACAATTATACATTTGTCATTTACATGGTGTAATATTAATTTATTAAACATTTCAACATTTCAATGTATCACATTTTTACCAATTGTTAAGTTATATTTATTTTGTAATAAGTATATATGTATTTATTTACTTAGGATAAATTTTAAAAACAAGTAGTGTGTATTAATATTAGTTTGGTAATTTACAAAATAAACGTTATGTAAATAATATTTTTACTTTATCAGTTTGATTCAATTGGTGTAAGTAGTACTATGCGTAAAATAGAAACGGATAACGATTTAAGGATTTGGTACAAATGATCCCATTATCTATTGTTTACTTAAGTGCTTGATAAACTTTAATAGTACCTTCCTGTATTCTTTTTAAAAATACTTTAAAACTTAGGTGATATAGGTGATATATATATTTTTTCATTGGATTTTCTGCTCAGTGTATATATATATATAAACTGTTAAATAATAGTAAACAACATTCCTATGATATAAAAATATAGATTTTTATCTTGGTATAATTCATAATTATTACCTATTTAAAATTGTTATGTTCAAGCATTAAAATTAATATTGAATTGTATTAATTTATCTTATATATATATATGATTATTGTTATAGACAAGCATTATGTCGATCCGAAAAATATTGGTAGCAACTAAACCATTGTCCAGAAGTATCCATGGAAGCAAACCTCTGTGTGAAGATGCTCGTTTGAAAAATTTAAAAGAATGGCAAAGAAAATTCCAAGTACCTGATGGTGTACCTGTTTACCTGAAACGTGGAATGACAGATCGACTTTTGGTTGGTTTTGTAGTCATAGGTACATTTGCTGGACTTGGAAACTCCTTCAAGTATTTGTATGAAGAAGTTATTAAACCATGAATAATATACAAATGTAGATTTTACAGTTAGTTTTGTAATTATAATAATAATACACAGTGAAGAAATCTTGTAATAAATTATGTATTATTATTGAAAAGATATTGTGAATTTTCTTTACATCAGGTTAATAAAAAAAAAAAATTATTTTAAAATACATATTAAATAAAAAGAAGCTTAAGTGTATAAATAATAATTTCCATTTTACATTATATTGTACCAATACAAAATTATTAAAAAAATAGTGAAATTATATGTTTTAGTAAAACTATTAATAAAGATTTTGTCTTACTTAAAATTATAAAGATTGTTAAACCATTAATGTGTTAAGAGTTCTAAGATGTGGTAAGTGGTACAGAGGAAGGCGTTTGTTGTGGAGGTTGGTTATTAATTATAATAAATTTTTGTAATACAGCAAAAATTATTCCTGAAATTCCTAATATGATGAGTCCAGTAAATGTGATTGACAACCAAGCAGGTATTCCTAACGATTCTAAAATAAAATAAAATGCATACATGTATTAACTTTTAGTTATGATTATTGATTTGTTGGAAAGAAAAATAGGTATTTGATTTACTGATTTTGTTTCTTAGTTTATGAATACTGGTAAAAACATTTTATTAATCATATATTATTGCATTTACATTAAAGTTTATTTATTTTATGTGCTACATTATATGTTTTTCATTTGCTAGAGGTCATAAATGAAAATATTTAAACTATGCGTGTTATACACCTAAATAACTGACACTATAGTATAAGGAAGTTATTTTATAAAATAGAAGTCTTATTGCATTAAAAGAATTATATTTTATTTAGTTGATGAAATTTAGTTGTACATTAACGAGTAAACGAGCAATGCATTATGACATTTATTTATAAAATCAATTTTACTAGACAATAAATCTATGATCCAAATACAACTCTACTAATCTAACAACTAATGGTTATCACAAATTAAATTATTGATCACCTCAAAATTATATAGGAGTTATGAATAGTGACAAATTTAAAAATTACTGAGCCACGGTTACCTGTTGATTTATTTACAGAAATGTATTATTTATTACTACTTACTATAATATGTCCTAGTAATGGTTTTTCTTCCCCTAAGAATCTTTCGTCTTGCTTCTGTCTCATTGAGAAATGAAATTATTACTTGAAAATATAACAATTAATTACAGCTACATTTAAGGACCATTAACAAATATACACATTGTGTTAATTTAAATTATGCCAAATATTACTTACCAATCACCATAAACAAAAAAACAGTAGAAAAACGCATTTTCAACATTTTGAATTAGTTAAATATTACTTATCCTTTGAAATAATATTTTTAACAGCAAAAAATAATTCAATACTAATGAAGTTTTTATGTTTATTGGGCGGAAAGGTATTTGTATAGTACCTTATCTCTTGTGTTTCACTATGTTGTAATAAATAAGGTTGGGTAGATAACTTGTGTAAATAATTACTCATGTATATATTCATAAAAAGATTCATATTATAATACCATTGAATAGTTACAAATATTTTATATTTTTATGTAAGATAATTTACTATGATCAATATTATTCTCGTCTTCTGTAGTAATCATCTCCACATCATTTTCTTGCTCTTCTTCGAGTAGTTTTTCTTCAGTTGCCAAACGTTGTTTAAGACCTAAAACAAATAAATAAACAATTAAATAAGCCTTTATTATTATTTTTTTTTTACACATGTATTTAGAGACATTGTTATTGTTATGGTAATATATTAAATAAAATATATAATAAATACAATATACAATATTATTTAAACTAAATAAAATATAATAAACTACAGCCTACAAGTAATAAATTAATTCTTGTAGTAAATACTTTAATAATTTATATTTTCATTAATTTGAGTATTAATATTAGGTTTCCATCCTACACTTAGAAAAATTATTAGCTTCTAATATTCATTTAGTGAGTCATACTAAATAAAGTTTTAAAATAAAAGAATTTTAGAACCTTTTTTTATCCCATTTATTAATACGATATGCACTAAATATTAAGACTTCATAAATAAAAATTGTCCTGAATTCATAGTAATTATAATTAAAAAAAAGGTATTTTCTTAGATTTATTTATCATTTACCAGTATTTATTTACCTTTAAATATACCACTGAGAATCATTTGGAGGTATAATAATTGGCTATTAAATCAATTTTTTGTAAATTGTGATTTGGTGTTAATATGAATTATATGTATAAAGAAAAACGGATCGTTTCTGCTTTACAAGAAAAAACAACAATATGTTTTTCTTTGATTTTGTGGTCACTTTAAAATAAGCATACATTGATGAATGCATTAATCATTACCATTAGTAACTTGACCTATTATTTTTTAATAACAGTGATACAAAGTAATAGTTAACTTTCCAGGATAAAGATATCATGTACATATTAATAATATATACATACAATTTGAGATTAAAATTGATTATAAATTATAGTTCTCCTATTATTACCTGCAGCAGGTGATCTAATAAGTGACATATCTCTTTGGACTTCTCTGATGTCTCTGTGTTGTTCAACTTCACGTCCTTTACGTAATCGCTGCATTACATAAGTAGACTGGCGTTTCTTTTGAATTTCAGTAACCTTCTTAATTGCTTCCACTATTAAAACAAATAATGAATAAATATTGTTATCATAATGTTTTAGTTATATAGCAAACACAGTATAATAAACATAGTTAATTATTAGATATCTACTGTAGTTATTTCATAAGTATGTTTAGTGTATATAATTTACTCACTGGACATTTGCCAAAACTCTCTGTCATATTTCATTGGTATGTTACGTCTTTTTTCAATTTCAAATGATGGATCAACAGCAAGCTCTTTACCAACAGCCTTGCGGTATGCTTTGGTCCATCGTACACGCCTTGGGTTCTTCTTCTTTTGGAATGCTCTGTGACATTTAGAGCGACAAAATTTAAATACCTAAAAGAATGAAACATAACACAGTTATGAATAAACATGTTCTAAAGGAGTACGAAATAGATATTTAATATTTTAGACATACCTTACAATCATTTCTTACGAAATGCATTCCGTGCCCTGGGTATATTTTGGACGAACAAAAATAACAAGTGTCAATACGCATTGTATCGGTTTATGAATATTAGACTAGGTTAGTGAACAAAAAAAACACTAAAGAAGGTTGACGGACGTCTAGAGAAAATCACAGACCGTAGATAAAAAAAAAAAGAATGTTTTCATTATTTTGTATTTTGTATCATTAGTTCATTACATTTTTATTATCATTAAAAAGCACGTGAGCCTTAAAATTTTATAATGCCGTGGCATAAAAACCACAGATAATAGATAGTATTATCACAGATATATAAAAATTAATGTAGTTTATTATTCTATGACCTGCGGTATAATTTTAAATTGTGATAAAAACTTACATCGCTCTCTGGAGTTCGGCTTCAGAGTACGGACAAACCAGCTAATACCAGAACCATCCAAGCTTTCCAAGCCCTTTGCCTACGAATAGTACAAATGACTGTCAACGTTCTTTGTTACATAACCAATGTCAGTATACACAATGAGCTAAAAATCGCTACAATCAATCAAACAGCTGCCACATTCTCTAAGACGGAACATTATCCCAATAGTATTATCGCTCAACTTCACTCCAACCATCTTCCAGCCACCAAGAAACCCAATTGGGTTTCTAATGGGTCTTACTAGACGCCTCAAACGAAAATAGTCTAGCGACTTTCAAAATCTCTGACGTATACTCCTCTACTCATGTTCAGACGTTACTAATGTGATGCGCCTTCTAGCCTTTCACCGTCCTCTTTCATTATACAGCTGAAAATATTACTTATTGTGCACCCTAGTAAAAATTATAAATAACTATTTTAATAAACAATTTTCAAAAAAAGAGATAAAAACTATTGTTTACAATAGGTAGTAGGTACTTATCTAATATATTGCTTAATATTTTTATAATTCAGCCAATCTAGGTTGTATACTTGGATCTGCGATAATTTTTAAAATAATGAATAAGTTATTTAAACATGCATGGAAACTTGGCCTTTTGTTTTTTGGTTTATTGTTACTTTATTAAATATTACCTTTTACCAACCTAATCTAACCTTTGCCGTGAATATAAATATTTATAGATCTATCTTATATCTATGTTATGTTTGTATATGAACTGCACTGATTACGACCTTTTCAACCTTTTTTTATGTAACACAAGACAAATAAGATCTTATTAATTGTCATGAATCATGAATCATGATATATATCTACTCCACGAGTACATTTTTTATCTGAAAAACTCCACAATTAGCCTTAAAAACAAACTCCTATTATACAAAACTCTGCTAAAACCGATGTGGGCGTACGGTATACAACTATGGGGTTCTGCTAAGAAGTCAAATATTAATAAAATACAACGTTTTCAATCCATAACATTACGAATGATTACAAAAGCACCTTTTTACATTTCAAACTATACACTTCACACTGATTTAAACATCCAAACAATTCCAGAGGTAGCAAAATCATCTTACAAATTATTCCGCTCCCGTCTAGCAAACCACTCAAACCCTCTGATCCTTGCCCTCGACTCTATCAACATACCTGGTGACCCGCCAAGAAGGTTGAAAAGCAACTGGTGCAGAGACCTAGCATTAACATAATTAAAAAATAAAAAATTTAAAATACCTGCAGGCTGCAGTTAATTATAAATTTAAATCAAATTAAAATTTAAAATTATGAACACCAATTCAAATCTATTTGATTCCAACATGGAATTATTTTTCTCCATAACTGCTTCATTTGATTCCGTTTCATTCTTAACCTTTTTCCATTTCATTTACATGAAGATCGAGTTCTGTTACTGGTTGAATATCTGCATTCGATATCGAAATATTTTTGTCCTGTTCCAGGCTGAAAATTTCCTAGCCTAAACCTGCTCCGTTCGATTCCAATTAGGTATGCGACTATTTTGTTTTAATTTATTTCGATAATTTCGTTCGTCGGATTAAATTATTTAGATTTACGCATTTACTCCTCCATTTATAAAAACTTCTTATGACATTTATGATGAAATATTTCATAGCAGTCTGCGCACTTGTAAATTTGCTTGAAAATATTTTAGCTTTTTACAATACATGCATTTTCTAAATCCAAAAATAAGTAAGGTCAATGGTTTTACCAGATCGTGGTTGAAATTCATATTTTTAGTACTTTTTGAGAACAAATTCTTTGTGAATGCAACCAATGAAATATGAATACTATTAGAAAAACATCTTACAATACGGATTTAACTTAATACTTGAAACACGTTAATAGTTTCCCCCAAATAACGTAATTAATTGTTTTTAATTCAGCTTAATATTTTATTTGTTAAAAAGATTTTTTACGTTGAACATCCTTGTTTTAAGTAATAGAAACGTTGAGCAATTCAACTAATAGGTTTAGACAGTTCAGTTATTTTTTTAAACGTTATAGATGCATGGATGTATTATAATTATTATTAGTGTTATGTATAATATTAGTATTTTAGAATTAGTTTAAATATTTTAAACATATCATTGTGTTCTATAATTAATAATTTAAAAATGAATTCTAGTAATCAATATTTAACTGGATTGTTTAATTATTCGTCTAAACCTCTAAACCAGTGGTCGACAACCGGCGGTCCGCGTGTTTATTTTATGTGGCCTGCTTGACGAAATTAAATTTCATATTATATAACAACATATATTACAAAATTTCAAATATTCAATAAAAATAATTTAACTTTACATTTTATCTAATCAGTCATGATAAAATATTACATTATGTGTGTAGAATATGCTATTTTTCGTTGATATATTGAAGTATATGAATGAACTTAATTAAAACTACAAGGTAAAAATCAATTTATTCTTGATATGTGGTCTCATACTAAAATAAATGAACTAACACATTTTCCAGCATGTATAAGTCTGTTTGAAATTTGAATCGTCAAAATTCTCATCTTCGAATGTTAAGTTTGTTGAAGGTAATTATATTTCGACACTTCAATATGAATTTAATAAACACTTTCAAGATTTTAAATATTGTTAACAATATCTAACATTACTCTCGAATACATTTAATATAGATATTAATGAAATTCTTATTGATTTTCAAATGAAAATGATAGTTTTACAATCACAAGATACTCTTAGAAATTTATTCAAACTTTCACCTTCACTGTGTTTTGCTGAAAACTCCCTTCAGAATTTCTAAAAATAAAAATGATAGCTGCAAAGTAT